CCACTTATCAAGCCATGCTGTGGCGGCATCCATATAAAGTAGAGGAAGATGGGCATAGATGTTAGCCCAGGGCCAATCTTCCTCAGCAAGAAAAGAGGAGGATTGGCAACAGATGTTAGCTCAGGGCTCATCTTCCTCACCAAAAAAAGAAAATACAAAGTGTTACCATATATTCCTTCTCCCCCTCCCTCTCAGTTTCCCCTGTTATTAACATCCTGCATTGGTGTGATACATTCATTACAATTAATGAACCAAAATTGATACATTATTGTTAACTAAAGTCCATTGTTTACATTAGGGTTCACTCTTGGTGTTGTACATTCTATGGGTTTGGACATATGTATAATGACACGTATCCATCATTGTATTATCATACAGAGTATTTTCACTGCCCTAAAAATCCTCTGTGCTCTGCCTATTCATCTCTCCCTCCCCCTGAACCCCAGACAACCACTGATCTTTTTACTGTCTCCATGGTTTTGCCTCTTACAGAATATCATATAGTTGAAATCAAACAGTATGCAGCCTTTTCAGACTTCTTTCAATTAGCAATGTGCATTTAAGATTCTTTTTATGAATAGTATTCCATTGTATGGATGTACCAGTTTGTTTAACCATTCACCTATCGAAGAACGTAGCCTTTGAAGAACATAGCATAGAAAGATCTACTTCACCAACTACTGTGTTTTCAACTGCAATTAAAAAAAACAAATTTAATACAAAGTGCTTTGACTTCTAGGCAGATTAATCTTACCTGAAAAATTAAATCATCTTTCCTTCAAAAAGCTTCTAAAATCACTAAGGAATGACATATACATCAAAATTCTAGTTTGATTAGTGTTGTAAAGAATTTTAGTGAATATTAAAAATTCTGGATTATTCTGATAGAGTACTTTGTAACAAAATGTAAAGTTGAGGGAGATTCTTGAAAGAGAAATTAGAGTCAAACTGCATTTACACTTGTAAGGATCTAGATTCACATCACTAAATTCATTCCTACCAGCAGTGTATAAGCAAGCCCATTTCACTAAACTTTGCCAGTACTGAGTATAGGAATTTACATAAGTACCCAGAATTTGAGAAAGCAAAAATGTGTATTTATTTAATTTTAAAGAATATGTAGTTATTTGATTTCAAAGAATCACAGGTTGGAGGGGTGGGGACACACAAAGAGGCCCTGGTAGTCACCTAGCTCCACTCCTTCATTTTGGTTGAGGAAACTGAAATTAAACAACGCAACAACTCACCCAAGGTCACATGCTCTTAGCTGCGCAACAGTTAAGGAAATTATTAAATGTCTCCTAACTCTTTTTGTGGATTTAGTAGTTTTTGTCTAATGGCACATAAGTATTAATGCTTATTGCCAATCACCTTAAAATAAGCCTGACCTTTAAAACCTTGCCTACACTCTTCTCCATCTACCCTCTTTCCCAAAACCTAAGTGAGCTCATTCAACCTCACTGCTTAAAATGCCATCCATATACCACATCTCCAAAATTTCTACCTCCAGCCCTATTTTCACTCCTGAACTCCAGACTTGTCTATCCAACTGCCTACTTGAGACATCTACAATCAGAGATTTAATTGGCATTGCAGTGTAAGGAGCTCCATGAACCCATTCCCCAGCAAAACTGGTAAAAAGTATTTAAACAACAATCATTTATAGTCTCTAAAAATTATCCTAAGGGCATGCAGCAAATGAAGAAACATTTATTCAAGAAAATCTACTACAATTTGGTAAAACCAGTGAGTCTGTGGTATTTGAACCAAGACCTGCTCCCTCCTTCTCACCCTCCCAACTCAAAGAAACAGAAACTCCACCCCAGACTGTTGTAGCCCAAAACACAGAGCTCTCTCTCCTCCCAGCTCCCAGTCAGAGGGCTGTCTTTTGGAGAAGTCAGCATTTCTCATTCTGCCCTCAGCTCCCTGTTGGTTAAGCTAAATTCCAGGAGAATGCAGCAAAGAGGTGGAGACTCTTTTCTGCCCCACTCCCACTTGTGTGATGAACCCTTTACTTTGACTGTGGCACCACTGAGAATACTGACCCTGATTGCCCTTCCCATGGCTCCTAAGGCAGAAATGCTGGGAGAAGCAAGCAGAGAAGACCTATGGCTACTGCTGCCCCCTCCAGTGAGCACTCAGTTCCTAAAGAAAGGTGTCACTCAGAAAGAAGTATGCCATTGTCCCCAATCCCAGCTCCAGAGCCCAGCTGGACCAGCGATTTTGCCAGGAGGGTATAGTAGGCTGTAAAACAGATAGCTCCTAATCTCTTCCCAAAGGAACTGACTCCATTTTCAACAGAATATACGAAATTCAAGCCTAAAGATGCTCTCAAAAACAGCAGAGGTTGTGGGGGAAGACAACTAGGAAGAGATTGGTAAAATCACTGGACATAAAGGCTAAACTGTAGGCCAGCTAGTTTCTTGGAGACAACCAGGGAAAGAGACTGCTGGTAGGAATCTACCTGGGGTCAGACTAAATCTCAAACACTGACCTCAGAAACTATCCTTTTGGGCTGGTGCCGTGGCTTAGCGGTTAAGTGCGCACGCTCCGCTACTGGCAGCCCAGATTTGGATCCCAGGCATGCACCAACACACCCCTTGTCCGGCCATGCTGAGGCCGTGTCCCACATACAGCAACTAGAAGGATGTGCAACTATGATATACAACTATCTACTGGGGCTTTGGGGAGAAAAAGGGGGAAAAAAAGGAGGAGGATTGGCAATAGATGTTAGCTCAGGGCCAGTCTTCCTCAGCAAAAAAAAAAGAGGAGGATTGGCATTGATGTTAGCTCAGGGCTGATCTTCCTCACCAAAAAAAAAAAAGAAAGAAAGAAACAAACAAACTACCTTTTGAATGAGCCTGAATTTGACTGGTTTAGTCTGTGGAGCAATTTATGCCCTAGGGTAATGTCGAAAACAATATAACAATCAGCCAGCAATTAGTGGAGCTTAACATCTGGGTATGGCCAGGAAAAGAGACAGGCAAAGAGAACCTTGCAAAAATCACTGTCATCCCAGAGTGACTGTCATCCCAGAGTGACTGTAGGAATATTCAAGGCTATATCCCCTGAGGAGCAACATCAGAAGCTTTACACTGCAGAGGTTGGAGGTGGGGGGTAGGGACAGACTCCACTAAAATAATCGTGTCACTAAACAAATAAAAAAAACTAGACTGGGGGGCTAGGGACCAGTACCCAGAATTGCTAAAACATATTATCTAAAATGTCCAACTTCCAACAAAAGATTATAAGACATGCAAAGAAACAGGAAAGTATGACTCCATATACTGGAAAAAAAAAAAAAAAAAGCAGGCAATAGAAGTGAGAGTAACTAGATGTTGGATTTAATAGACAAAGCTTTCAAAGTAGCCACTGTAATATTTTCAAAGAACTAAAGGAACCACGTTTAAAGAAGTGAAGGAAGGTATAATAATGTCACATGAAATAGAGAATATCAATAAAGAGAAAGAAATTATTTTTTAAAAACAAATGGATAACAACAACAAACAAACACATAGAGACAGAGATTGGATTGGTGGTTACCAGAGGGGAAGGTGGGGGGAGGAGGAGGGCAAAAGGGATAATTAAGCACATGTGTGTGGTGATGGATTGTAATTAGTATTTGGGTGTTGAACATGAGAACATGATGTAATCTATGCAGAAACAGTTAAGTATAATTATGTACACCTGAAATTTGTACAATGTTAAAAACCAATGTTACCACAATAAACAACAACAAAAAAAAACAAATGGAAATTCTAGAGTTGAAAAGTATAATAATTGAAATGAAAACTTCAAGAGGGGCTCAAAAGTATATTTAAACTGGCAGAAAAAACATTTATCAAACTTGCCAATAGATCAGTAGAGATTGTGCAATCAGAAGAACAGAGAGAAAAAAATTTTTTTAAATTGAAGAGCCTCAGAGAATTGTGGGATACTATTAAGCATATAAACATACCTGTACTGAGATTATCAGAAGGAGAGAGAGAAAAAGGAGCAGGAAAATATATGAACAAATAATGGCTGAAAGCTTCACAAATTTATTTAAAAACCATAATCCACACATACAAGAAGCTCAAAGAACTCCAACAGAATAAATGCAAAAAGATCCACATATAAATGCATCATAGTAAAAATGCTGAAAGTCAAAGACAAGAGAAAATCTTGAAAGCAGCAAGAGAAAAACAATACATCATTTACAAGGGAACCCCAGTAAGATTAACGGAAGACTTCTCAGCAGAAACAACAGAAGGCAGAAGGCAGTGAGATAACATATTCGAAATGCTCAAACTAACACACAAAAACTTGTCAACCAATAATAGTATATCCAGTAAAGCTATGTCAAAAATGAGGATGAAACAAAGACAGTCCCAAATAAACAAGAACTTGCTGCTAGCAGACCTGCCTCACTGAAACAGTAAAGGAAGTTCTTCAGGCTGAAAGTGACCCCCCCAGACAGTAAACTGGGGTCAAAAAACAAACAGCACCAGTAATTAGGTAATTACAAAAGATAGCATAAATGCATATTTTTCTCCTTTCTTCTCTTAAGTTATTTAAAAAACAATTATATATATATACACAATAGAATATTATTTGGCTATAAAAAGGAATGGAGTACCAATACATGATACAATGTGAATCAACCTCAAAAACATTAGGCTAAGTGAAAGAAGCCAGATCCAAGAGATCACATAATGTATTATTCCATTTATATGAAATATCTAAAATAGGTAAATCCACGGAGACAGAACACTGATTGGTGGTTGCCAGGGGCTGGGTGGATGGGAGAATGGGGACAAACAGCTTATTGAGTATAGGTTTTATTTTGGAATGATGAAAATATTTGAGACTAGATAGAGATAGTAGTTGTACAACATTGTGAATGTACTACAATAAAATTTTGAAAAAAGAATCATAATTGCCTAGAAAAGACAAATCTATAGAGAAAGTCTATTAGTGGTTGCCTTCGGGGTGGGGGTGGGAATGGTGAGTGACTGCAAATGGGTATGAGGAAATCTTATTGGGGTGATGAAAATGTTCTAAAACTGGATTATGGTGATGGTTGACAATTATGTAAATGTGCTAAAAATCATTGACTGCCCACTTAAAATAGATGATTTTATCATATGCAAATTATACTTCAATGAAGTTGTTTTAGAAAGGAACACATAAAAAAAGCAATTGTATAAAACAATATATATAATGTATTTTTGGCCTATAACATATAGAAATGTAACATATTTACTAATAACAGTACAAAGAAGGTGGATAGGAGCAAAGCTGTATTGAGCTAAAGAAATTACTCCAGATGGTAACTTCAATCCATAAGAACAAGAATGGAGAGAACCAGAAATGATAAATAAGAAGGTCAATATAACAAAAGCTATAAATATGTGCTTGTTCTCCTTTCTTCTTTCAACTTCTTTAAAAGATATAAAGTAATCATTATAACAATGTATTGTTGGATTTGTAACATTTATAGATACAATATGTATAACATTTATACCACAAAAAGAAGGAAATGAAATAAAACTATATTGGAGTAAGGTTTTTAATCTCACTGGAGAATCTCAGTTACTATATACCTGAAGCTGATTCTAGTAAGTTAAGATGTATATGGTAAGCCCTAAAGCAACCACTAAGGAAATAACCAAAAAAGTAAAAAAAAAAAAAAAAAAAACTAAAGAAATTAAACTGCTACATTAGAAAATATTCACTTTATGCAAAAGAAAGCAGTAAAGGAAGGATAGAGGAATAAAAAAGACATGACACATATAGAAAACAAAAAGTAAAATGGGAGACAAATCCAATTATATCAATAATATTGAATGTTGGGAAATGAGTAAGAGAAATCGCAACTAAACTGGAGTCTGGAAGGCCTATAGGAGGAGCTCTCACACCCCATCACACATTGTCAATTACACCAACCAGGAAGAGATGGAGGCTTGCATCTTCAACAGTAAGTAGAACTACTTCACTACTGAAGGAAGATTTCTCTCCCCACCCAGCAACAGCTGAGCCACTAAGAAATGTTCCAGCTCAGCTAATGAGAAGCTGTTGCTGCTCTGAACTGTTACTTTCCTCCAGTGGACTTTCCTTTAGAACAGCCCCTCCCTACTCCGCTTTCTCTCTATAAAGGCAGCTCCCCTCCTTTGTTCTCTGGATTTGCCTATGGTTCTCCATATCACGCACCTCCCAAATTGCAATTCTTTTGGCTATTCCTGAATAAACTCGTTTTGAAGGTAAAACAACAGGCAAATTTGCTTTTTAAGTTGATAATGTGAGTGGCTTAAACAATCTAATCAAAAGGCAGAGATTGTTAGACTAGACTAAAAAAAACAAGATCCAACTATATGCTGTCTACAGGAGATATACTTTAGATTTAATGGTACAAATCACGCAAGCAGCAACCACAAGAAAGGTGGAATGGCTGTAACGTCAGACAAAATAAACTTTAAAATTAAAAAAAAATGTAACAAGAGAAAAACAGGGACATTTTGTAATGATAAAAGTGTCAATCCAATAGGAAGATATAACATTTATAAACATGAAGGCACCTAATAACAGAGAACCAAAATACATGTAGCAAAAACTGACAGAAATGAAGGGAGAAATGGACAAGTCAACAATAATTAAAGTCTTTAAAACCTCACTTTCCATTAGACAACTAATACACTCTGAAAGGTAATATGACTGAAACAACTCTTCATTTTCCTCCCACTTAAAATCTGCTCCTCCTTTAGTCTCTACCTCTGTAAGTGTCAATTGCAGCCATCTAACCACTCAAGCCAAAAACCTTTAAGTTGCTGTCTCTTGCACCCCACATCCACACAGTCAGTCAATTCTATAGCTCGTCCTTTCAAAATATATCCCGAATCCAACCACTTTTTCCCATTTCTTCCCTGGTCTGAACCACCACCATCACTCACCAGGATTACTGAATTAAACTCCTAACTGGATTCCACCTTTCCTCCCCTGGTCCCCTGATGTCTATCTCTACACAGTTGCCAAGTGAACCTTCTAAAACAAATTGAAGCAGGTCATTCCTCAACGCTGAACTTACTCTATCCAATAAATTTTAAATGAAATCCAAATCCCACAAACTCCCTTTCCAGCTTTACTTCCTACTCCTTTAATCACTGCACTTTCTTCACACTGACCTCTTTGCCGTCCTCAGCAAGTTATTAAACTGAATTTATAATGCAATTCTATTTTTTAGAATATCATTAATATATCTATATATGTACAAAAAAGTGAGAAAGGATGGGCCCTATTATAAAATGTGAATAATTATTACCTATAGGTAGTAGGATTATAGACAATTTTCATTTTTTTCTTATTGCAAAAAATCTATTTCTAATTTACATATTATGGTTTTATATATTACTTATGTAACAAAATGTATTAAAAAGCTGTGTGTAAAACCCCTTACACCCACTGTGGTGATAGTATTTAACTACATACAAAATCTAGAAGTAAACCATGTGTGTCACAAAAAAATTAGAACAAAAGAAACTAAAACAAAACTTGCCTACAGAAATAGCTGGTATTTACCTACATATGTTCCAGCACTTTCATTATTTCATTTAATTCTCACAGTAACCCTATGTGATGACAGCTTTTATCCTCATGTACTGGTGTGTAAAATGAGGCTCAGAAAGGTTAAATAAGTTATTTGAAGTTGCAGAGCAAGTGGTGAACCCAGGTCTATCTGACTTGACTATTCAGTCATGTTCTAAACACTGTTCTAGATATTGCCTCCTCATAGTCATGGACAATAGTGCAAAACGAAACGAGCTAGATATCCAGTAACAAAGGAAAGGGACCTCACGTAGTCATAAAAATGTTTACTACCACTAGGATTATGTAAAAATTGATGGGCATGTTACATGAGAAAGCAAACTATCACATTCTCGACACGAGTAGGTGAAAATTTAACATCTCAGGTGGACACAGGCCAGCAGGCCATTAACAGCCCGTACGTTAACGTTGGTTCTGTTTGGGTAATTGAACTCTGCGTGGTTTTTATTTCGTTTTCTCTTGCTTTCTTGTATTTTCCAGATTTTTATGAACGCATCGGAACTGCTTAAAACAAACAACAAAAAGCTAAATTTATTTTCACGGAACAAAGGGAAAAGTTTTTGTTTTGCAATAAAGACTCAGCCAAGTGTCTTCCCTAACGGCTACGAATTCCAAGTCTAGATCTAAACAAGGTAAAACCTTAAGTATTACCTAAAAGGCGATCTACATTCTTTTAATTGACCTCTGGGGACTCCCCACGGACCGGGAGTTTGAAGGACTTTATGACTCTATTTTTGTTTGTAGCTACGTTATAAAGAGCCTATTGAGTTTATCCAGATTGATGAAGACAGTGCAGCTTAGATGGCCCAAGTTTAATAATCCCTTTCCACGAGGGTAACAGAATTTAAATGTTTTCAAACTACTTCTGGGATGCGTAACTCGTATGAAAGTAACAACACTTAAAAGGAAGCAAAGAAGGTAAGAAAAGGTCCAAGCGTTCAAAAATGCATGCTTGTCCCCAAAACCCTGTCTCCGGGTCAGTAAACCTGCTTGACGCTGGTGGAGGTGGGGCGCCAGGACCTGCGGTTTTCACGGTCTCTGTCAGCAAGAGTCGGCCTCCGCGGGGTTCAACCGAGTGTGCGGGCCGCGCGGCCCGGCCAGAGGCCACACGACGGGCTCGCGCGCCTCCTCTCTGGTCGGCCGGCCCGGCGGCCCCGGAGAACGGCCTCGGCTCTGACGGCGGCCACAGCGCCGAAGCTGACAGGGGCTGAAGACCTGCCTCGGGACCGCAGGTACCACACGCCTCGGCTGTGTGGCGCCGCGACCAGCTCTCGGCCCACGTCCGCAGCCTCAGAACGGGGACTGCGCGGAACGGCAAGTCCCGGCTCCGCTCAGCCCCGCCCACCCCTCTCCTCGGACGCACGCACGCACAAACGCACGCACGCCCCTCCCTGGGCGGCGCGCGGGCAGAACGCCCACCGCCGGGAAGCGCGCGATCGCCGGGACCCGGCCCCCAGGGCCTTCCGGCGGGCGGATTCCACGGATAAGCTGTTCCTCAGGCGTGGGTCACACCAACAGGCTCTTGCTGGGGCCGCTTTCTGGGGCAAAGGTTCTGACCTCGGGGAGGAGAAGCAGCGAGAATGAAACGTTGGGCTTCGTTTGAAAGTGGAAAGTTGGGCTTATGGTTAATAAACGTCGCCTAATAAACGTTTGCTGAATGATGAAAGTAATAAGTGGATGTTTGCTTTAATTTTAACTCCGTCTTCAAAATACCCCACTCTTCCAAAACTACAACAGCAATATAGTTTTGAGTGAGTCCTTGACAAATCCTCTTCCTAGTGCGCTGTCTGAACTGGTGGTACCGTGCAAGTGAATTTGGTGAGAAATTTTTAAAGGACACTTTTTGCCAGCATCATTTTCTGAAGCTTTATTTTTACTATGCTCTTTTAAAAAAACTTGAACGGTTTGTCCAAGTCTAAACTTCAACCAGTCATAATCTGGCTTCAAGCCCGAACAACTTTAGCTCTTATTCTCCCCACTTATCCTCCCCACACTCAGCGTTCTTAATGTAGTCTCCACATTAAGCAGAGTACAAAGAATCATAGAGCAGAAAGGGAGGTAATATTCTGGTGGAGCAATTTGAGATCGGCCATTGAGCTCTCCTCTAATAGACAAGAAGGAAAAGACTACTGCCTCTGGACTCAGATTAAAGTATTTCTGGGTGCCAATCCGGTGATCTTTGCTTTACCCTTACTCAAAAAACATTTGAATATCAAAGAGCTGTGTGGGTGGGTGCTCAATAAGTAGGTGCTGAACAAATGACATTTCTGTGGGGAGCAGCATGGTAAGAAGGAGAGCACACACTTGGGAGTTAGATTTCAGTTGGCACTTAGGAACTGAGTCATCATAAGCGAGTTACGTTACGTCTTAGTCCCAGTTTGTGTAGGCTTCTTTTGCCTTAGAGTATATCATTCTATTTTATGTCCAAGATGAAATCTATTATAGGTTTGCACTTATTTCCAAGAAGAGATGTACTACAAACACTATGTTCGTTTAATTTTACAATTTATTTAAAAATAATTTACTAATTTTTTATTTTAATAACCTATTTGAGCTATTCTTGACACAATGACACATGGCCTTGCCTTCATCGGGAGGGGGCCAGAGAATATAACAAACTGTAAATACAAGGCTGAATTCATAATACCTTTGAAAAGATATATAGGTATGAGAATCTAGAGGTAGGAACAATTAGAACTCTGAAATCTCAACTTACACACTATTACTACAGAAATAAATGTGGTTGAAAATAAAAACCATTCTTAACATATTTCTGAAAATTTTTTCCTTTGAAAGAGGTTTTTCAAGTTATTATACCCGAATTCTCATTGTCAGGAGAAAGAGAGAAATCTTTCATAAAGAAAACAGTATAATTAAGGACCATATGAAGAAATGCTACAACGGGGGTGGGATGAGGGAATCCACAAAAATCAGTAAACATCCAAGGATTAATTGTGTTCCATATTAATAGTCCATGAGGGGAAAATGCTTAACATTTAATACTTTTGGGATTCAGGGAACCAAGGACTTATTCTGTAGGAATATTTGTAACTCTTCCCCTCTGAAAATAAAGAGACATATAAGAAACGCAGATATTCCAAGCTCAAATTTCTAGGACAAACCCAAACCGAGTTGATTTCAAGAATGAAAGTGATTGTCACTCTGCTTTCAGGTTTCAGCGTATGGAGAAAGACACTTTTTTATTTTTTTTGAGAGAGAGAGGATGTAAAAACCTACGTGGTGTTGAAAGCTCTCCAAAAGCCAGTAATTGTTTTCTCATATAATATTTCACTTAATCCCATTACTGTAGAGCACATTATTATAAAAAATCAAACTCACATAAACTAATTCGGACCAAAAATAGTACTTAAACATTCAATTTACAGAATCAGCGAACCTAATGACTCCTGAATCTTACCCCTGAGTTTAGTAAAAGCTGAAACAAAGTTCAAAAGTTTCAAATAAATGTATCAATAACAGTTTCATATTAAAAGACATTTACGTTCCAGGTACAGTCCAAACTTTCCAGTGTTCTCAAAATGCCTTTCCACAAACCTTCCCTTAGTACCACTTCAGACTGAGTTATCTAGGCAGTAAAAAGGCATTTACCATGCTTCCAACACAGCCCAAAAGCAAAATCATCATCTTGTTTGCCCTAGTTTTGAGAATTTCAACCCAACTTCTGGTCCCCACACTAAAATCAGTTCTCAGAACCTCACACAGGACACGCCACTCCTCACCCACTTTTGCTCCCCTCTCCAGCAAGTTCAGTTCTAACAATGACCGAACTACAAGTACTGCTCTAACAGCGACACAGCGCAAGCCCAAGTCACTCCACTTTAAGCCCTTAGCAGGTACCGCCTATAGCTCCTCACGGGCCCCGTCCCGGAAGTTGCGTCATGACGCTCGCGCGCCCTGTCCCCGGATGCACTTTTATATCCGGATTCTTAGAGCGGTTTCAGAGCTCCACGGTTCTCTACGCGGTTAGCACATGCGCGCCGGCTCTGCTCCCTGTTCTTCCACTTCCACCAGCTTCCACCGTCCGGGCAGCCGCCGCCACCGCCGGCGAGAAGTCAGGAAGTTCAAGATGGCCGCCGCGGAGGCTCAGTCGCTGCGGGAACAGCCAGAGTAAGTAGTCTCTGTGAGTGGTGCAGGAGGCCGGAGCCCGGAGCCCGGGGGACTGCCTAGCGGGAAACGGCGGAGACTTCACGGGCGGGCGGGAAAGTTCAGGCCTAACGGGGAGAGCCAAACTTTGCCTTTCCCCACGCGAGACGTTGTGGGACGGGAGGCCTGGGGCGCGGGCGGGCGGGTGGCCTGGGAGCTTCGCTCTCCCGGAGGCCGCGGCTGTTGGGTGGAGGGCGGCCGCGGCCTGCCGCGCGGCGTTGCCCTGGGAGGCGTAGGCGCGAGCGGCCTCTACAGGTCCCGTGCGCCAGGCGGCTGCCGCGCAGTGCGGTCGCGCCTTCCCGTGCCTCTCTCGGGACCGAGCGCGGCTCCCTGGCCGCAGCGCTCGGCGGCGCCGGCGTTGGCACCCGAGGAGCAGTGGCGGCAGCGGGGCAAGCCCTGAGACTTCGCCTCCGCATGCAGTATCCTCGATCGTCGCGCCACTGGTGTCGGTTTTAGGACCTGAAAGCAGAGAGGAGAATGGGTGCTCGGGCCACCCTGTTTGACCGTCCCAGAGCTGTAGTCTGTGGCTAGCAGGGTACTTCATCTCCCCACTCCTGGATTCTTTACTCCAGCATCCTCCGGTTTTTTTCCCTCCCTGCCTATTGGCAACTTTTTGCCAACTTGCAAACTTCAGGCAAAGTACGATCAAGTCCTTGGTTTTGAGGCCTGGAATTTTTGGCCTGAGTTGATAGCGCTGCTTTGGGAGTACGAGTAGAAGAAGAAGTGGAAATTGTTAGCTACTTCCAAACCCGAGCACTTTATGTCTATATTTAAGCTAGTATAAGAATCGGTGCAGCCGAGAGAAAACGTATTTGTATATGCTGCGAAGGCTAACCGTTGCTTAACTAGAGGCAGTGTTTTGTTTTTCGTGTTTATGCTAGGAAGGCTCAAACAGGAACCTAAAAGAGAGAATGGATTTTAAAGCAGTATTCCTATAGCGACCATTTTTTGCATCAGCATTATCTGATTCGTTTCCTGCCATCTTAGGAAAGAGGTAGATGTAGTCTCCCAGCAGCCTGGGACTGAGAGAGAGGAGAAATGTTTGCCACCGGACGGCCCAACGCTTCATTGCTGTGCGTCCAGTTCTGGACTCGATCATTAGCTTTACTCAGCTAGAGAGCATTATACTGAGTTTTTCATTAAGGGCTTTTGAAAGCTGCTTTATCATCTTCGCAATTTGACATAGAAGAGAGCAAACGAATTCTCAGGTTTTAACTAGACTTTGCCTCCTTTTGTTTCTCTTCGAGTTCACAGTGTGGCACACAGTATTTGTGCCAATACACTACAAATCTTATGCTAGGCAGCTGATTTTTCTAATAATCTGTTTAAAGTTCTACAGTGTTCATTTATTTGATTTCAAGGACGGTTCAGATTCATTTTGACGAGTGGTTCGGCCATATTTTATTTACAGATTCAAATAATAATAAATTTAATAATGATAAATGACATTTATTTAGGTCCCTGCAGTATGAATGACACTGAGATAGTCTTTAATTCCACCTCCACTCCCCACGGAACACTTGGTATAAATGGAATATTTGGTCTGTATGTGTTCCACTTTCACTTATTTGAAAATTTTAACAAAGACAATAAGTTTGATATGAAAGTAAGTACTATGCATGCTGCTCTTAGTGAATGCTGGAGTATAGTGTTTAAACAGTTCTTTAGAGGACTCTGAGTATAGTTTAGAATTATATGGAGTCTATTTACAGTAGAATATGGAATCTATTTACAGTAAAACATTTAGAAAAAATATAAAAAACAGTTTTTAAGCTCCCTGAAGGCATTTTAGTGGCTTTTACATTAGTCTCTTTAGCTCAGCCTTTTTGTTGGTTTTAAACATTTAAATCTTTATATGCATTGAGTTATTTGCACTTAGCAAGTACCAAGTTCTGTTTAAAGCACTGAACAAATATTAACTTGGTTAATCCTTATGACAGCCCTATGGAGGAAGATACTGTTATGTCCCATACTTTACAAATGATGAAACTGAAGCACAGAGAAATTAATTGCCCAAGGTCACACGAAGTGACAGACCCAGGATTTAAACCCAGGCAGTCTGGTTCTAGAGCCGTGCTCTTAACTGTTGTGTTGTCTGATCTCCCCCTATACATTGCAGCTCCTTTTACAAATAGTCTTTAAGGTTTAAAATCATTTTTATTTATTTCCAGTGTCCCAGAAAGGTCCGTTTTTTGAGTGACAGTTCTAATTCTTTGAAATTTAGTTTCCCACACCTGATTTTGAAAAAGTGGGAGTGGAGAGGTTTGTTTTAAGACCAGTTGGTCTTTTGGACCCATTCTTATTTTTACATGTACACTAATTCTGTATTAAAGTAGTTTAACCTGTCAGAGAAACAGGCTTAATTACTTTCCTTGTAAAGAAGCAGTGGCTTTCACTTTGCTTACCATTCTGTCTTCAAAGCATAAATTGAATACCTCCCAAATAATATGGCATGAAGAATATTCTTTGAAAAAAATGTGAAAGAGGAAGTTAAAATAACACTAGTGGCTAGTAATTGGTTGCTTTATTTTATTTTATTTATTTTTTTATTTTTTTGTGAGGAAGATTAGCCCAGAGCTAACATCGTTGCCAATCCTCCTCTTTTTGCTGAGGAAGATTGGCCCTGGGCTAACATCCGTGCCCATCTTGCTCCACTTTATATGGGACACTGCCACAGCATGGCTTGACAAGCGGTGTGTCGGTGCGCGCCCGGGTTCCGAACCTGCGAACCCCGGGTCGCTGAAGCAGAGCACACAAACTTAACCTCTGCGCCACTGGGCCAGCCTCTTGGTAGCTTTATTTCTTAAAAATTCCCCCCCCCCCCCAAAGCCCCAGTAGATAGTTGTATGTCATGGTTGCACATCCTTCTAGTTGCTGTATGTGGGACACGGCCTCAGCATGGCCAGAGAAGCGGTTCCTCGGTGCGCGGCCGGGATCCGAACCCGGGCCGCTAGCAGCGGAGCTCGCACACCTAACCGCTAAGCCACGGGGCCGGCCCAGGTCGCTTTATTTTAAAGTTGTTCCGTGGCTGTTTTCATTGTGCCAGATGCCCCAACACCTGGGTTGTTTGAAGGATGAAACTTGTACATTGCACTTAACAAAGGAATAAATGCTGTTAAACAAACCCATATTGTCTGCACTTCAAATTCAGCTTTGTTTCCAAATAATATGATTTGAAGGATGTTACTCAGCTCAGTAGATATTGTTTTGTGACAAACCTGTTGTAGACCAGATTGGTAGAGACATACACCTGCTAAATGTGTAGCGTTCAATTGCAAAATGTAAATTTGTATGTATGGAATTTATATACCTGTATTTATTGTTAATCTGAACTGTCCAAGAAGACTATCAGGTTTTCTTAACAAGAAATCTTCCCCTAAAGCTTTAGAGGAAAGTTGTTGATAATGAACATGAATTAACTGCCCTAGCACAAGCTCGTTATATGTAATATGTTATGCCGTTGACTCATTGAGTGCAAGTTTTCCTGATTTACCTAATCAGACTTCATTTGTCATTTTCTGTGAAATCTGCTTTGAGAAATCAACTGAGGAGGGTGAAGTTCTGCTATATGCTTAACTCTAGTGTAGGAGAACTCTAGGATTATTAAGGTTAACCTAGTTGGCCCTAAGGTGCTTGTAGCATTTTTTATTATTTGGGTTATGTTATTATAAAATGACCTAGTCATCATTTCTTGAGATAACATTCATTAAGTTACAGTAGAAACTGGGGTCACTCATGGGAATAACTGTAAAGTAACACTGGACATCATGATGTAGATCTGATTCTCAGATGCTTTAGAAGCTAGATTATCTTTTGAAGGCATTTACTTCCTCTATAGGTAATCTGTTAAGAATTTTGATTTGAAATGCTTTGGAAGACTTGTAAATTATAGAAAGCCTTAGAAAAGGATCCAAAGAGCAGATTTTTCTTGCGGGGAGAGGTGATTAAATTTAAATTATTTGAGGTATTGCATTCAAAAAATAGATTTGTGCAATGTGTAAGGCACTGGGGATATAACTGAGCAAAAACAAAATGTTTACTATCAAGAGGTAAGAGTATGGTATAGCCAGTATAAACCAGCTGTAGTCTAAGGAGTACAGCTTTTATATGTTCTATGTAAAATCATTTTCTTGACACAACAAATACTTATTGAGTACCTACTATAGGTTAGGTAATCTTCTAGGCCTTAGGGATAGAGCAGTGAACTAAACGTGAGAATTCTGCTCTCAAGGACTTATGTTATAGTAGAGAGAAACAAACAAGAATTATGTTAGGTGGTGGCAGTTACTTTGGAGAAAAATTAAGCAGAGAAAGGGAATATGTGTGTGGTCGGGTGGGGGTTGTGATGAAAATGAATTGGTCAGGAAAACTTGACGGAGAAAGTGTAGTTTGAGCAAAGGCCTGCGGTAGGGAAAGGAACCAGCAATGTATACATCTGGGGAAAGCATTCCAGGTGGAGGAAACAGCAAGTAGAAGTACCAAGGCCCTGAGGTGTAGGAGTATACCTGTTGTTGCAGAGCAGTGTGGCTGAAGCAGAGTGAGTGAGGGAGGAAAGAATTCGGTTCAAAGTGTTAGGGATGCTGGGCAGGTAGTATAGGACCTTGTCAAGGATTTGTTTAGTTTTTACTCTGAATGAGGTAGGAAGTAATAATCAAGTTTCATGCAGAGTAGTGATATGATCTGATATTTTATTTACTTATTTTTTCTGAGGAAGATTAGCTCTGAGCTAACATTTGTTGCCAGTCTTCCTTGTTTTTTTCTTGAGGAAGACTAGCCCTGAGCTGTGTCCATCTTCCTCTGCTTTATATGTGGGTCACCGCCACAACATGGCTGACAAGTGGTATAGGTCCACACCCAGGATCAGAACCTGCATACCTGGGCCACCGAAGCAGAACGCACTGAATTAAACCACTACGCTATGGGGCCACGGGGCCAGCCCCTGATCTGATACTTGAAATGCATCTTTGATCAAATGGAAGAGCTCTTGACTGACTTGGAATGTGATGCCAGCGTTCTCACATACTTGATGTATGTGTGACCTTAGGCAAGTCCCTTAACCTCCATGAACCTTAAAGTCTCATCTGTTGTGGAGACATATGGAGAGACAATATTTCTTGAACGTTTTGTGTGACAGCTTTTTATATGTATGAACTCATTGTCATGACAAACCTATGGTTGTCAGTACTATTATTTTCGCAGTTTTTATAGTTGAGGAAACTGAGGCACAGAGGAGTAACTTGCCTAAGGTTACACTAGGTGTGTCAGGTTGGAGGCAGCATTTGGACAAGATAGTTTGAATCTAGTTTCCATGCTCTTTGACAATATTCCTTAAAAGAACATTCTTCGTATCAGCCCTGCCAGCCTCACAGTGTCGTGGTGAGTAAATATATTTATCCAGTATCTGAACGATAGCTTACTTTTTGGGCACTTGGTTTGTGCTAGGCACTGTTACAGGCTTTGACAAATCTGTTAACCCCTACAATCCTCACCGCATGCTTTGAGGTAGGTACTATTATTTTCTCCATTTTATAAATGAGATGTTTGCAGATTGGAGAGATCTTAAACTTGCCTAAGGCCTCACAAATAGTAAGTCATGGAACCAGGATTTGAACCTAGGTAATCTGGCTTTGGAGTTCGCTTCACCACTCAACTATCCTTTTTCTTGAGGACACTTAGAGAGTCTTTAGGTAGTTTGAGTTTGAGTTTCTTGACTAGAATTTTGTACTTTGGGCATTTAGATTTTTATATACCTCAAAAACATTCTCAGTCTTTAGAAATATTCTCCATACCTATCTCCATATCTTGAATTAGCCTAATTTAATTTTTCTCAAACTTTTCCCCCTGTAAGTCAAGGTTCAGGAAAATAGACATATACCCCACCTTCTGGATTGTGGAATTGGGAGATTTCTGGGGAAGGGAGGTGGTTACCTTTATGAGGGTAAGCTTATACAAGGAACAAAGTTGAAATGTCTTTGTGTCTTTTACTTAAATCTATGATTTTTCCCTCTCTATGATACAGCCATGGTTTTTTTAATACAGAGATATTACTCTTTCTTTTTCCAAGTCTTTGAGAAAATTTGATGATTTAGAGAACGCTACTATATTTGTCCTCTGCCTTTTCTTACCCCATTACAGAGAAGTCAGCCCAAACTAAAACCTGGCTCTCACCAGAAGAGACAGCTTTCTCTACAGCTCTCTTCAATACTTTTTCCTTTCCCACAGTCCAAAGTACGAGAAATGGAAATTGGCAATCTGACACCCCAAAATTCAAAGTTCTTGCCATGTGGTAGTTATATGTTGCACATTCTCCACACCCCCTCATTATCGACTAATAACTTTTCAAGCATACCTCCAGTGTGTCATCCCCCAACTGCTCTCCAGGTTTATTAAAGACTGAGACCTGGCTGGAGGACCAGACTCTTCTCCAACTTTTTTTTGTTTTTTAAGTTTTTTATTTTTTCCCCCCCAAAGCCCCAGTAGATAGTTGTATGTCATAGCTGCACATCCTTCTAGTTGCTGTATGTGGGACGCGGCCTCAGCACGGCCGGAGAAGCGGTGCGTCAGTGCACACCCAGGATCCGAACCCTGGGCCGCCAGCAGTGGAGCGCATGCGCTCAACCGCTAAGCCACGGGGCTGGCCCATCCAACTTTTGCTGTAATGGCATTGTCATTATAGACAACCCATCCAGCAACCTAACCTTGCAGTTCCTGGGCCTCTGACTCCAGTGATTTTAGGTGGTCCTTCAGTGTTCCCATAATGCCCTTAGTAATATCTTGATCATTGCACCTCTCCAAAGTTTCATGTGGCTTTCTTTTCCACTGGTCTGTAATTTCCTTGAGGGAGGCAGATAGTGGTCTTGTACACCTTTGTTTTCCTGCTACCTAGCTTAATTCCTACATTAAGTGTAGGTGATTTTTTAAATGTTGAATGAGATTGAATGAATAGACTCAATAATTCTTAACTTGCAAGGAGCTATTTGTAGTATATGGCACAAATAACTTACTGAAAGTACAGGAGTATATAATTTGAAGGACTTGGATAAAATAATCCATATCTTCCTCCAACAATGGTATGGTGGCTTAAATCCAGATAATTTAGAGTCTGATTTTGGTCTTATATTCTAGGATGTGATGGTTTAGTATGGAGTGACTTTAAAGGATAAAGTTAAATAATGCTGTAGTAGCCTGTATCTAACCTGAAATTACTGAACAGCAAGGATTTAGCAAAATATTTTAGAACCATAAACTCTTTAACTCAGCATAGCCCAAACATTTAAGCACAGAAGCCACCCCCTTAATTTAGTTAAAAAATTTTCTTGTGTGGCACCTATTAATATGAACACGTTTTGAGAAATTAATCTCTGATTTGAAATTTAGAAAGATTAAATAGCCCCCTAAACAGATATTGGGTTGAACTATGTGAAATTGCTCATATTGGACTGTGGACATGCAAAAGACACTTTAATGTGGTTCAGCCTAATACCACATGGTTCTCAGTGGCCTCTATAGACCAAGAATCCTAACTCCTGGTCAGTTCACTTTGAAGTTTTAACCCTTGGGGGTGTGTTCACACCATCAACATCAACCACCAGCGCACATTGATGGAGTGCTTCTTTTTGGTAGAGCTCAATATTGGCTCTAGAGATTTAAAAAAAAAAGTATGTTTCTGAATTGCAAGTGGAGAGAGAGATTAATCTCTCAATATATGTTACTATTAATATGTTTTATGGAAAAAGAAAACAGGTTCCTTTGGTGTTAAGTCTATGTGGGAAATGCTGGTTTAAAAATCAAGTTACTGAGTGACTTTAAATCAATATTAACGACATTCTACTGTACCTGGTTTGGATTCCCTTTTTCTATTAAGCGTAATTATTTTAACCTCCCCCATTATGTATTTCTTGTAATACTTTTGGTATTTGAGTTCAACCATTAGAAACAAGTTGAAGTTAATCACTGTTCAACTCAATTCTTGCTGTATATCTTTGAAATAAAGTGTCCAAAGCTGTTCTGAAAGTATTTTAGTGACTAACTTCATGTATTACATAGAGATGTATTTTATTACTATTATTTTATGACTGAATGCTTGATATGATATGATTTTAAAATGTGTTTGATATATTTATAGGATGGAAGATGCTGATAATTCTGAAAAGAGTGTAAATGAAGAAAATGGGGAAGTATCAGAAGACCAATCTCAAAATAAGCACAGTCGTCACAAAAAAAAGAAGCATAAACACAGAAGTAAACATAAGAAACATAAACATTCCTCAGAAGAAGACAAGGATAAAAAACATAAGCATAAGCATAAACATAAGAAACACAAAAGAAAAGAGGTTATTGATGCTTCTGACAAAGAAGGTTTGTCTCCAGCAAAAAGAACTAAACTTGATGATTTAGCTTTACTGGAAGACTTGGAGAAACAGAGAGCCTTGATTAAAGCTGAACTTGATAATGAGTTAATGGAAGGAAAGGTCCAATCTGGGATGGGGCTCATATTACAAGGTTATGAGTCTGGCTCTGAAGAAGAGGGGGAGATTCATGAAAAGGCAAGAAATGGAAATAGGTCTAGTACTAGATCTTCAAGTACAAAGGGGAAACTTGAACTTATGGACAATAAAAATAGTACAAAAAAGCGAAGTAAAAGCAGATCTAAAGAACGGACTAGACATAGGTCTGATAAAAAGAAGAGTAAGGGTGGTGTTGAAATAGTTAAAGAGAAGACAACTAGGAGCAAGTCAAAGGAGAGGAAAAAGTCCAAAAGTCCATCCAAAAGAAGTAAGTCTCAAGATCAAGCAAGAAAATCAAAATCTCCTACCCTTAGAAGGCGATCTCAAGAGAAAATTGGGAAGGCCAGATCTCCTACTGATGACAAGGTTAAAATTGAAGATAAAAGTAAATCAAAAGATAGAAAAAAATCCCCAATTATAAATGAAAGTAGAAGTCGTGATCGAGGCAAAAAATCCAGATCCCCAATTGACTTAAGAGGTAAATCCAAAGACAGAAGGTCACGGTCCAAAGAGAAAAAATCAAAACGGTCTGAAACTGATAAAGAAAAGAAACCAATTAAATCTCCCTCTAAAGATGCTTCTTCTGGGAAAGAAAATAGGTCACCCAGTAGAAGACCTGGTCGTAGTCCTAAAAGAAGAAGTCCATCTCCAAGACAGCGTGATAAATCAAGAAGAAGTAGATCTCCGCTTTTAAACGATAGAAGGTCCAAGCAGAGCAAATCCCCGTCCCGAACTCTGTCTCCTGGTAGAAGAGCCAAGAGTCGATCCTTGGAAAGAAAACGAAGAGAACCAGAAAGGAGACGACTTTCTTCTCCAAGGTAATGTGTTTTCAAAATATTAATGCTTTTTACCAATGCACCAGCTTTTAAAGGAGAAGCCAGAACTTGTGGACAATAAAAGATGAGATAGTAATGAGTTTTATAGTTTTAAGTATATCTTTTCCACTAGCTGTTAATATTTGCACTTTTGTCCATAAGTATCTTGACTATGGGTGATTTACAAATATTGAACTTGGTGATGGAATCAGTTTTTGGTTTTTTTTTTTAGGTTCTTAAGTTTAGGATCTGATTTGCAGAATCACTATTTTAAGTCCAAGTAATTTGGCTGGTAAATCTATGTATACCTGTTTATGGAGGTGGGTAGTTTCTAGAGTGGAGATTATTACTTCTGTTAACCTAAACAAATAAAACAGCCAGTTACTTTACCAGCAAAATGAGTTTATTCAGGAATAGCAGAGGAATTGCAGTTCAGGGCAAGCACGCTATAGCAAGACCCTAGGCAAGTCCAGCAAGCAAAGGAGAGGACATTATAGAGAAAAAGGAGGAAGTTGGGAGGGGTTGTTTCAAAGGAAAATCCATTTGTGGAAAGTAAAAGAGTTCAGTTCAGGATGGTGACAGTTTCTCATTGCCTGAGTTGCTGGGTAAGGAGGAAATCCTCTTTCCTCCTGCTAGGATAGTAATTGACATCTTCCTGTTTGGACTCTGTAATTGAGATGAGTAGTAATGTGTGAGGGCTCCCCCTTCTGGCCTCCCAATCTCATTTTAAATGAGGTTTCCTTTATTTTGTTTCACATTTCATTGAACAGTATAGGCTGCAAGTTTTAAGTTTAAAAAAGGAGATATCAGTTTAAGGATTGTTATCTGTCCATTCTCTTGAATTGGCATGATTTTAGATTCTAACAATATAAATTAGAACTAGTTTTTGGGAGCCCCCAAAATATAATTAAATTGAAAGTGGAAATTTGTTTCTGTTACTAATTCATATCCTTATAATCTCATTTTTGAAAAAAATAGTTTCTCTTAAGTTTAGGAAGAATAGTGCAAGAAATTATTTTATTTTTTACCAATAATAATAAAAATAATTCATATTTGTATAATACATTTGGTTCATCAGCTGTTTTCTCAAATTCTCATGATTTTCTCTCATGAGGTGCAGTGACTCTCCTTAATTTATAAATGAGAAAATAGATTAAGAGATTATTTAACTTACTGGGATCACAGACCTAATAAGTAGTTAAAGCACAGAAAGGATTTTTGATGGAGAGGGACGGGAGTTGTTTAGACCAGTCTAAACTACTTTAGAAACTGATTTTTTAATATTTTTATATTCAGTAGTTAGGTGTGTGAAGTTGTCAACCAGATTTATGTAAAAAATTGTTGGTTTATACTATGCAAAGATATTAGTGATTTCTAGCCAATTTACTGTTTCATATTAATATTTACTGTGTGTGGGTATAAGTATAAGCTGACCTTGAAGTTTAAATCGTATTTTCTAAGAAATTTCAAAAATGCTGTTTCCATAGTGTTCTGTCTTAAGCGATATTCTTGATTCTTTTCTTCTAAGTGACATTGCAGTGAAATGGCCCCCTTCTTCCTTCAGCTTTCTGCATTGAGGCAGTTGTTAGTGGTACTGATTGTGTTAGCTAAAGTGTTGCTTAGTGATCCTGGCCTCTTCAATTTGCTTTCAGTTTGAAAAGGAAATTCTAAGTTTATTGAGGACTGGAGTTGAATATTTGAAACAAAAATATTTTTTTAAATTACAGAAGCAGTACATACTAAAGAGAAATTCAAATGATGCAGAAGGCTGAAATTTTCTTCCTCTTCATCCCTTCTCCACTGGCACTCCTAAGAATGTGTCCTTCTAGCCCATTTGCTATGCACATACAATTTGTATGAATATGTTTTTTCTTAGAAAAATGGAGTCACACTCTTCTTTTTAACAGTAATTTGCTTCTTTCATGTAACACTTCTGTGACAATACATAAAGATCTTTTTTAAGTCTTTATATAACAGCAACATGATATTTCACAGTGTAGATGTACCATAATATATTTAATCATTTCTTTGTTGAAACTGAGGAAAATTTAGGTTGATTCCAGTTTATCATGATTGTACACAAAGATGTCCACTGGTCATGTGTGAGATTTCTTTGTAGAATAGAGTCAGAAGTGGAATTGCAAAGTCTAAGGTTATGTACTTTTACACTTTAGAAAGTTACTGCCAAATTTCCTTCCAGGAAAGTTATACCAATATGTGCTTCCCTGACTAGATGGACTGTCCTTTTCCCTAAACCCTGACTTATATTTCCTCTGTTCTGAGATGAATGTTGATTGTAAGATGCTATTACAGTAATCCCCTCTTGTCCGAGGGGCTTATGTTCTAAGTGCCCCAGTTGGTGCCTGAAAACCATGGATAGTACCAAACCCTATATGTACTATGTTTTTTCCTATACATAAATAATAGGGATTTGACAGCAAAACTAGCATGAATTTCTTTTCCTTTCAAGATTTCACAGATAGAAGATTCGCTCTTACCATAGATCTTAGAAACCTCAGCATTCAATTTTTTTTTTCCCTTGTTAAGAACTTTCATCTTTTCACTTAAAGGAAGTACTTTACTGCTTCTCTTTGGCATATCCAAATTGCCAGCATCGCTGCTCTTGAACTTTGGGGCTGTTATTAAGTAAAATAAGGGTTACTTGAACACAAGCACTGCCATACTGCCCCAGTCGATCTGATAACTGAGACGGCTACTAAGTGACTGACCGGCAGGTAGCCTGTACAGCACTGATAGCTGGACAAAGGGATGATTCACGTCCCAAGTGGGATGGCTCGAGATTTTATCATGTTACTCAGAACCGTGTGCAATTTAAAACTTATGAATTGTTTATTTCTGGAATTTTCCATTTAATATTTTCAGACCATGGTTGAATGCAGGTGACTGAAACCGAGGAAAGCAAAACCACGGATAAGGGGGAACTACTGTACATGTAAAGTTCTTAGCATATGGAAGTATTTAAGGAGGTTCCCTGTCATTATAACCAGTCAAGTTCCACCAGATTCTGTGTTGTTTATCCGAAATTAGAATCAGTGGCTTTACCGATATGAGTAACCTTTAATAATTCTTCAAATGTGAGACCAGAGGAAATAGACCTCTTATTGTGTGCCTACTTGTAACACCAAAATGTCATTGTGATCATCTGAATTTAAGTTTTGCTACGAAATGTTAATTTGTGTTTACTATCTTTAGGTTAGCATGCCCTTTCTTAAGATGTTCTTTACGTGTTGAAGAAATTCATTTATTTTAATTTGATTTAATTTTCTATTAACTTGTATTTGGTCCCCTTAAGAACACGACCTCGAGATGATATCCTCAGTAGACGTGAAAGATCAAAAGATGCCAGCCCGATCAATAGGTGGTCTCCAACCCGAAGAAGAACAAGTAGATCTCCCATTAGAAGGAGGTCACGTTCCCCAATCAGACGCAGCAGGTCTCCCAGAAGAAGAAGCAGGTCTCCTCGGAGAAGGTAAAGATATGTTATGGATGTTATCCTTTTGATTCATTAAACTCTGAATGTTTTTGAAGCCATTAGCTCAGTTGATAAGTTTTCTTAAATACCGTTTTTCTCTGTGAAAAATGGTAGCTGCGATCCTATATAGTTTCCTCTTACCAATGTGTGACATTTCCTAAATCCTGGTTTTTCTTTAATATAGTTTTCCCTCAAATTTAAATAAATCAGTGTTCATTTAAAACTCAGTCTTTTAAAAGTAGGACTTTTTTCTGTTTTTTAAGAGAGAAATACTAAATGAGCTATGCTTAGGATTTTTTTTTTAACTAGCAAGATAAGATCATAGGGTAATAAATAAGTAGCCCAGTTTCCTGTTGTTTTATAATTGCAGTTCTGTATTTATTTTTCTATTAACTTGTGTTTGGTCCTGTTAAGAACACTACCTGTAGATGATCACCTCAGTAGAGGTGAGAGACTCTTTGGACAAAGACCTATTTAATTTATGGTAGTAGAAACCATTTTATGTAAAGCAGATGTAGTCAGTTGGTTAATCAAAAAGGTTGGTTTTTAAAGCAGGGAATCATTTAAAAAATACACACATACATTAAGTATTTCAACCTAAAACATAAATGGACGTTCATTTGCCAATCTTTTAACATTTTTAATTGAACAAATACATGAATATACTTTAAAAAACAGCACACCGAAGACCTGTATTGCAACCAGTGGATATATCTTTACATATCTGTGAGTATTTTTGTATACTAGATGCATAGAAGTAGAAATGCTTTGTCTGAGAATGCACGTTTAAATTTCTTAAAGTTACTGCCATATTGTCTTTTGATTTTCTACTTTTGACAATTAGTTTCTTTAATACCACCCCTCACACGTTTCTCTTCTGCCTCATTTCATCACATTTCTGTATGCTTCCAGATAAAAAATAGTAATTATTAAGATCATATGCATATTGTTCTTGCTGAGCAAATAGTCACGAGAAAGGGGAAGAGAGGACCTTCTAATGCTCCTAGCCTTCTCGCTCCAGGCTGACTGATAGGCCTGCCTATACAGTTATCATTATAGGATTTGTTCTCCCTTTTCCATCCTCTTGGTATTCCCTTGTTTCTCTCTCATATTGTGATTCCATTTCCTGTATCTACTGTCTTTTTGTGTTTTACCTCCTTGATTTGGTGTAATGCATCTCCAATAGCTTCCTGAGGAAAGTACATGGAAAGGACATTTTTTGGAACCCATGTCTCACAGATGCCTTTTATTCTCATTGCTGATTTGTCAAGGAATACAATTCTAGGTTGAAATCATTCTTCCTTAAGAATTTTGAAATCGTTGTTCCACTGATTTCTAGTTTCCAGTATTGCTATTGAAAAGTCCTGTTCTGATGCCTGGGCATTTTTTATAGGACTTAATTTTTTTCTCTGTCCCTTTCTTTTTATAATAAATGTCCTGTGTTCTGCAGTTTTACTGTAATGTGCCTTGGTGTGTGGTTCTTGCTTTCTGTTTATCTTGCTGTACACTTAGGGCGATTATGGCTGCCTATTCTGGGAAATTTTCTGTCTCGCTTTTTGTTTGTTTTGGTTTGCTTTCTTTTTTCCAATTGGACCTTCTATATTGTTCCACTGTTTTTTGTTTTACTCATCTTTTATGTTTGTACTTTTGTTCTGCTTTCAGTCTAGAAGATTTTTTCATTCTACCTTCTTACCCTTCTATTGATTTTTTCCTCTTTTTTCCTGTGCTCATAGTATATTTTTTATTTCCAAGACCTTGTTGGCTGTTTACTTTTTTTTTTATAACATTTTATTGTTGTTTTATGGAAATGGTATCTCTTAAGTCAAAAGTGATAATGAGTTTATTTTGTGGAGTTTTTATTGTTTATAATTTTCTTCTTTTACCTGTACTTTGTTTCTTTCCAGATTACCTTTGCTGCTTGTTTACTTTTTCATTTGAAGCCTTTCTTCAAACAGCTGGATTCTTCTTTGCTGCCTCCACTGATTTAGGAGTTAGGCCCTGAGAAAGCTGAATGGAAAGCTTTCTTCCATTCTGACAATGGAGAACTTGTGGACTAGTGGGTATCACTCCAGGGTGATGAGGTAGAGGATTTAGCATATCATTGACTATAGATCTTTTGTTTTGGGCTAGTGAGTTTTCCAGAATCCTCTTATCTCCTGCTATAGAGTATAGACTTGGCTGCCTGGACAAGGAGAGACTTCCCCTTAATTCTTCTGTTTTCAGGACAGTGCCTCCCTGGTACCTTGGGCCAGTTTACAACAGCCATGACCTCCCTATAAAGTGAGTCTTCAGTCTGCTGCCTGAATATGAAGAGGAGTGGTTGGCATTTTCCAGAGTCGGGAAGGGGAATATACAAAGTCAAGCTGTTCCTAAAGGCTTTCAGCCATTCTTTTTAGCTTTTACCTCAACACTCCATCCTTCAGAGATGTGGTGTCTCCAATTCTTGAGGCTTTCTGGGGTTTCAGGCATGCACTGACTTTTTTCTTGTTTACCCTGTCTCTTCCTATTGGACTGATATTTAGATTGATCTGTTTTAACTACTCTTCTGTCCAATTTGCACATTTTAAGATTTTGTTGGCATCTCTGTTGTTATATCTCTTTGCATTCTCTTTGCCTGAGGATTTTCTTTTTAATTGTTTGTTTTACTATCATTTTAATAAGATTTCAGAAGAAATCTGGATAAACATGGTGGTCTGATGTGACATTACAGGGAGTTTGCCAATCCTTTGTAGACTCACAGCCTTTTCTATTTGGAGTTCCACAACATCATTTCTAACATACACTTCACCCTTAATGCCTGAACTATAATATTAGTTTCTGTTTGTTTAAGTTTTAGGCATTTATAAAAATATCTGAGAACCACATTAATTAAAGTTAGAATTTTTGTCACATTTGTTTTTCCCATACCTTATCAGCAGCGGTTTTTTTAAAAATCAGATTTATTGAAACATATCATTTACATAACATAAAATTCACCCTTTTTGGTGTGAAGTTATGAGTTTTAACAAACACGTACAGTCACATAATCACCACAATCAAGATCTAGAACATCCATCGCCCCCAAAGTTCCTCTCTGCCCCTTTGCAATCAGTAAGAACAGTAGCTATGTTTTAGTTATCTTCAGTTGATTATCCCAGTCTTTCTGATACTGTTATTTAAGTTGAAATTTTAATTGACCCTTTTTCTTAAGACTTTATTTTTAAAACAGTTTTAGGTTCACAGCAAAATTGAGCTTTTGAAAAGTACAGAGGGTTCCCGTATATCCCTGCTGCCAACACACCCACAGCCTCCCTGACTTTAATTGACTTTTAAATATATATATATCTTTTTTCTCCTCAAATTAGGGACAGAGGTCGGAGGAGCAGATCACGCTTGAGAAGGCGGTCTCGATCACGGGGTGGTCGTAGACGTAGGAGCAGAAGCAAAGTAAAGGAAGATAAATTTAAAGGAAGTCTTTCTGAAGGAATGAAAATTGAGCAAGAATCTTCATCTGATGATAAGTAAGAAGGGAACTTTCCTGTCATTTTCTTTTTCCAATTTAGAGAAACACTGTTTGACTTGGAAATCTTTAATTTCCACCTGAATATCATAAGCAAATCCGTTGGTTTGGTCCTGAAATTAAAAGTTAATCTTTTGTGCATATTTCCATAGGTCATATGGCAGAGGTCATGGTTTTCTGAGATGAGAGGTTTCCGTTTTGGCTGGAGTGAATATCAGGCCATCACTTAATCATGAGCCCTCCCTTTATTTTTATGAGAAATGACAGATATATTAGATGGTCCTGCCAATTGTACTTACCGGTTTTGGGGGGGGGGGAATTTTTGTGCTAAGTTTAAACTTTTCAGTTTATGTAAAATGATACATATTTTGTAGTTGAGTCTATCTGGTTGCAGGTATGCTTGTTATAATGTGGAAAATGCAGAAGCATTTCAGTGTCTAGGAAAATAGAATTTTTTTAATGCAAACTTAGTTGTCTAAATGGAACATCTCATAAATAAGACTAATTAGAGCAGTGGTTCTCAGCTGGGAGTGGTTTGCCTCCCCAGGGACATTTTGGCAATGTCTAAAGACATTTTTGGTTGTCATGTAGTGGCCTGAGGACAGGGATACTGTTCAACATCCTGCAGTGCACAGGACAGGACAACCCCCCCCCCCCCCCCAACAATGAAGAACTATCAAAGTGTCAACAGTGCTAAGGTTAAGAAACCCTGATTTGAGCTAGGTGATAAGAAGGTTGGTTGGGGAAAGGATGTTATACGTAGATCGTAATACCTTCCGAGTGCAGTTTGCTCACTGTTTTGCAGTGAACATTCAGATCACAGAAAAGGCGGCACTGGGAGGGATCATAAAGATTGGGGGAGTTCTTTCATGGGCAGTTGGGACCAGTCAGGGGCTGTGTTTGCCGTTAGAGCCACATTCTCCTTCAGATTATATGCAAACATTTACATGTGCATTTTTGGTAGTGCAGGGATCTACTGCTTTCTGAGAGTTCTGTGACTCAGAAAAGGTACCAATTACTGATCTGTCCTAGCCCTCTTGTTTTATAGGTGTGAAAACTGAGGCTAGAGAGGTGAAATGACTTGACTAATACTAAGGTCATGGTAGAGCCAGTGGTGAGTTTTTTAGAACTTAAGGAGCATTCTTTTGTTCCCAGTTTTGGTACCGTGAAACAGGAGAGGAGAAAAATCAGACACAGAAGGTTAAATTACTTGCCAGGATTCCAAACCAGGCAACTGAGACAGTTTAGAAATAAGGATAAAGAGAATAAGATGGCTTAAGACTTTCGCTTGAACTTAATAACAACCTACGTTTTCCAGCTTTTATTTTTGAAATATATAAAGGTATGGTTTTGAAATTTCTAAGGATGTTTGGAATTAATTATATGAATATATGTGTAATATTTTTTAAGCCTTGAAGACTTTGATGTAGAGGAAGAAGATGAAGAAGCCCTAATAGAACAGAGAAGAATACAAAGGCAGGCAATTGTTCAGGTGTGTGATTTTAGTAAAATTTTTTCTACTTTTAGTAGAATAAAGGTTTTTTTTTTTTTACTTTAACAAAGAAGTGACAGAAGTAGCAATTGAGTAAGTCTTGGAAAAAGAGTATATATAAAATCATCTTTGAGAGATTTGAAAACAAGCAAGTTTCTTAATAAAATTGAAATGGTTGCCCTGTTTTATTGTACGTGGGATTCTGATATAAACCTCTTCTGTAAGACATAAAATCTGAAGTTTACTTTCTTTTATTTTTTAAGTTAATGAACAAGAAAACCCTCATAAATGAGTATGGAATAAATTTCATTTCACAAAACATTATGCTTGTTACTATGTGAAAAAAACAAACTATTTTTAATATCTAATAAAATGGCAGATTTTCTAATACAAATGTGATTGTTTAAATGGAACATCTCAAAAATAATTTTAAGACTAATTTAGAGCTAGATGATTAAGAAAATTGGGTGGGGAAATGGTGTTATACATAGGTCTTGATAGAGTCATTTAATGATAAAGTTAGCTGCCTTGGAAGATTGTCAGTTCTTCCTTGGCCATCCTGAGGTAAAGCCACGGCCACCAGATCCTTTGTGGGTGGCAGTTCCTGAAAAGTCCTTCTCTCACCGTCGCTAGGAGAGTTATCTCCTAATGATGAAAAAGTGAGTGAGAGAGTTGAGAGAAAGAACTCTGGAAGACGTGAAAAATGTTTGGATACAAGGAGGAGGACCACAGGCTAGAGAAAGAACAGTTGGGGCAGCTCACCTAAACATACATAGCAAATCATAAATCAGGGAATGGTATGTCAGAGCAAAGGAAAGACCTTGAATCACCAGAGCATGGAGGGCAAAATTGGAATTTCAGAGAAAACTTACTTTTCTGGGGCACTGATAAAATTGTTATTAAACTGGTTTCCCTAAAGACTTGGTTGAATCTTTCTTTGTTCTTGCCCAGGTCCACAATCCCTTATCTCCAACCCTTGGGGCCAGATGTGCTTCAGAACTCAGAAATATTTGAATTTTAGAAAGGTAATATGGTGCATCTATGTATATTACTTAGCCCCATCAGTGAGGTCTAGAACAGCACCCCATCATCAAACATATTAGTAATTCTACAGTGGGGCATGTTATGTTCACATTGGGGGCGATAAATAAGGCTATAAGTAGCGTCACATCTGTTCACATCAGGGTTGCCACCTAATAAATGTGCACCAAACAGAAAATCTTTTTCAGAGATTTGTGGATTTTAGAATTATATGTAAGGGATTGTGGATCAGATTCAATCAAGGCATCGATATCTTTTTAAAATTTTTATCATTTGCCACTTAACTTTTAAGCAGTACCTTTTAGCAAATATATTCAGATGGCATCAGATTTTATGAAAATAATCTATTGTATTGTTACTACAGAAATATAAATATCTTGCTGAAGATAGCAATATGTCTGTACCGTCTGAACCAAGCAGCCCCCAGAGCAGTACTCGTACACGGTCACCTTCTCCAGACGACATTCTGGAAAGGGTAGCTGCTGATGTTAAAGAGTATGAACGGGAAAATGTTGATACATTTGAGGCCTCAGTAAAAGCCAAGCATAATCTAATGACAGTTGAACAGAATAATGGTGAGTAAGTTAGGGTTTTTTTTGACTGTGCTTTTCTCTGAATTTTTAGCTCTGTGATTTCATAATGAGAGAGATTATTTTGGGATGAGGAAAAGAGAAAGGGATTAGGAATGTTGCTCCTGCTAAATGTTAAAATGTTCTGTGAATGTTCTCTGTAAATGTTTATTAGTTCACAAAACCTGAACAGTATGTGAATTCCCACATATTTATTACCTTTTGTTTTGCTTACTGTAGAGTATTTTAAAGCAAATTCCAGCCATGATTTCATTTCATCTGTAAATACTTCAGTTTGTATCTCTGCTAGATAAGGGCTTTTAATAAAACATCGCTTATTCTTAATAAAATCGATAATTAAAAAAAAATCTATAGTCTGATTACAGTTAGTTTGAATCAAAATCCAAATAAAATGCACCTATTTTATGTGGAGTTTATATCTCTTAAGTCTCTCTTAGTCTTTAATAGTTTTTCTCATCCTTTTTTTCCCCCTCTTATGCCATTTTCTTGTGAAGATACCAGGGCTTTGTGTCTTATAAAATTTTCCACTCTGATTTTGTCTGGCCACATTTTTGTGTCATTTATCTTATTTATTCTATTGTCAGTATTTCTTAAGAACTAGTAGTTAGTGTCAGAGACTTGAATAGATTTAGATTTAATTTTTTTGGCAAGAATATTTCATAAGTAGTGTGTACTAACGTTACATCAGGTGGCATGTGGTACATGGTTGTCCTATTTTTATTGACATTGAGATTGTGTGTTTAGATAAGATGATCCCTATCTATCCAATGTGCAGTTTCCCTTCAGCTGTTCACCTGACAGTTTTAGCAGCTGCTGGTGATTGTTACTTAGACCCATTATTTCATGGGGGGGGGGGGGGTGTTCCAAAGTGGTGATTTTTATTATTTCTGTCATTCCTTTTGAATTATTAGCTTTAATTCTGTAAAAGAAGAGATTTCCATTCCTTGATTACCCTGAAATATAGTTTGTACAAGAAGGGTAGGATAAATGCTTGATTATTTTGCTTTATTGACCAATTTTTAGCATAGAATAGAATTGGTGTCCTAGCAGCCTCCAGAGATGACCAATGAGATTTTGGTTCTTTTTGTTGGGTTTTCATTATTTGGTACATTGTGTACTTGTCTTTCAATCTGTTGCTGTCATTTTTCTTTTTGAAGCTCAGATTGTTCTCTCTTCAACCGAGGTGGGGAGGAGGGAGCCCTTTTAAGTCTGTTTCTAAAATCTTTGTGACTCAAACCCTTCAGTATTAAATAGTATAGCTTTCTTACTTTCTAGGACAGGGGTCAGTACACTTCTTGTAAAAGATCAGATCATAAATATTTTAGGCTTTTGTAATTAGACGACTTTTCTCTGTTCCAACTACTGAGCTTTGCTGTTGTTATGCCATACAGAAACAACAGAGGGGCCAGATTTGGCCCAGTCTGTAGCTGTTCTAACACAGTGAGATATCACAGGCTCACCTTGTACATATCTTGCCCCAGAATAGAATCAGCTCTTGCTCCAAGGAATCCTGGTTCCATTTAATAGGAAATACTATTTAGAGATCACAGGGCGCTTAGGGGTGCCCGTTATTTTTAGGCCTTTTCAGTGGACAAAGCTAGGAAATACATATATTTTTAGAAAGGAGGAGTTCATACTGATATTGCCAATCCCATTTGAAACTATAAGATTTTTATTAACTGCTTTGATTTATAATTTCTCTCTCTTTTACAGTGAAAAACTTGGTTCCTAATAACACAATTACTCAGGTTATTATTTTGAAATTTTTATATACATAGTTATCAGTATGGTCATCAATATTACATATGCTGAATGCAGTTTGAAGATTTAATGGTTCTTTTTGTCCTTAGGATACATCCCAAGGTGTATAGTCACAAATGTGTTTTAAAAGTCATTTGAAATAATTCTCCTCTGTATGGTTATACCACCAATTTGATAGATTTAGATTTATTTCCATTTGCTTTTGATTTTTAGGAATTTTCTGAATTTTTTAAATTATTAAAACATCTTTCGTATGTGTATGTATTTGTATTCTATTTACGCCTGCACACAAAAAAGCATACTATACACTCATCTATATGAGAAGATCTCCTTCATACCTTTTGCAGCTGCATACTATTCCAGTGTAATGAATGTGCCATAGTTGATTCAGTTTGTCTTCTAACGGTAGATATTTGGATGGTGTCCAGTTGCTGGCTATTCATTGGAGCGTTAATTATAATAACGTTGTGCATTAAGTCATTTTTTTATGCTTGCTACTGTGTCTTTGGGATAGTTTCCTAGAAATGGGATTGCTGGATCAGAAGAGTGAATAAATATGTAATTTTGCTATGTATTTGCAAATTCCTCTCTATAACGGTTGTACACTTTTGCCATCCCACAAGCAATGCCTGAGTGTTAACAGAATGTTGTCATACTTTCACAGTCTCATATGAGAGAAATGGTATCTTGTAATTTTAATTTGCATTTCCCTTACTGTAAGTGAGATTGGGTATATGTTCATATGCTTAAAGCTGATGCCTTCTTTTTTTCTAGTAACTCCTTTTATATATATGTATATATGTATTCCAACCGCCCCCCTCAGTTTTCTAGGAGTTCTTGGCCTTTTTAGGGGAGAACTATATATAGCTCTTTATCTATCTATAGTGGGAATATTAACCTTTTGAGATTTAAGTTGCAATATAGAAATACAATTTTTTGAAGAGGAGCTTTCATTTTAATACATAATCATTATTTAGCTGTTAGCATATTAATTTAACTAACGTTGGTGAAAGTACTGCTTTTAGGTCTTTCAACTTTGTGAAATGCAGCCTTTTTGTGAAAAGTGGATAGCTTGATATACCTTAAGTATTATAAAGTGATTTTAAGTTGAGTGTTAATGAAAAACTGATGTGTGAAAAGGAAAAAAGGTTTAAATTGTTATTAGTGATTTTCCATTGACTTATTGTGTTTTAATGATTGTATTTCTTCATTTTTAAAATATTAATGCTAATTTCCATTAAGGTTCATCTCAGAAGAAGCTCTTGGCACCTGATATGTTTACAGAATCTGATGATATGTTTGCTGCATATTTTGATGTAAGTAATTTTAAGTTACAAAAATACACCTATTAAGTATATATAACAAATGTATTTATGTGGTTATATATATATATATAGAGAGAGAGAAAGATAAAGCAAAATAATAAATTTTAACATTTGGACAACTTGGGTGAAGGGTATCTGGAAACTGTACTAGTTGGACAACTTTTCTCTAAGTCTGAAATTAGGTCAGAATTTTAATATATGTAGTAGTTAGGTGAGAGAGGCTGATGTCAATAATTTCTAGCCCTTTATTAGAACAAGGCCTACTTTGGATTTCTATATTGTAGGTGATTGAGAACTTAAAGATTTGGAACCTAATAGAATTCATTGAAAAGTTGGAAATGTTGTAAGGAGCAGGTTAAGAAATTTTGGTCCTTTAGCCGTTTTTTCATTAAAGATTTATCAGTGCCTTTTCTTGAAAAAGTCTTAAAATACATTCAAAAGTATGAGACCATTTTCATTATAAATTTAAGAGAACATGAGAAATAAGGATACTTTGGTAAGGGGAGGTGGGGAGGATAAACATGTAACAGGGAAATTAAAAATGAAGGAAGATAAGCAGTCAATCTCCAGGACCCTGAAGACTTTGGTAATTGGCTTAAGTAATGTGTCATATACAAATATTTTGCAACAGGAATACCAAAAACAATGGGTTAAGAGAGGATGAAATGATTATTGAGCCAGTTAAAGTTTTGGCACCCATCCTCTGCCTGAATGGTACTGAAGGATCTTGTGGGTGTCATGGAAGCTCTTCAGAAGCGCCAGATATTCTTAATCCCACACAGACTCATCAGCTATTGCAGCCAGTGACATTTGGTGCATATGTGAGACTAGAGCAAGAGCTGTTACATGGACAGGACCGTAAAAGAAATGTGAAAATTGGTAGGAGAGAGAGCTGGACACTGGTAGTTAAGTTAGTGCTCATCTGTAATTTTTGTTCTCTATCAAATAGCTAAAGAAAATCAGATCTGGTTTTGAGTTTCTGTTTTCATTTATAATACCCTAGTCATATTCCTAAAAGTTTTTGAAGATACTTTATTTTTTTCCTGAACATTATTGTGATGCAGAAGACTTTGATAATAATGTTTCAGCTATATTGCATTTGCATAATGATAGTAAGAGTATTTAATTTGGCATGAAATGTTTTTATTAAGTTGTAGCTGGTTTTGCCCGTTTCTGTTTTGAAGGACGTGCTTTAAATGTCTGCCTGATTAGTGGGTAAATAGTTCACATTTCCTTCTTACAGAGTGCTCGACTTCGGGCTGCTGGCATTGGAAAAGATTTCAAAGAGAATCCCAACCTCAGGGATAACTGGACTGATGCAGAAGGCTATTATCGTAAGTTCACAATTCTTATTAATTTTAGAGTTCATTGTACCATTTTGTAGAAGTATGTTGCTTGATGCCGTCACACATTGGAGAACTCTGAAAGTCACATCACAGTGCCATCACTTAAAAAGTGTGGCACATCTAGCAAGCTGCATGAACCCGTGTTATAATCTAGTAAGCAGCCCAGAAGCATCACAAGGTGAAGTGAGGTAAAGACTTGATATGCATCTTAAATCTATTCAAAGTTATTTTCAGCTATGAGATAATACTCCAGAAGGAATGGGTACGTCACTTGTTCTTCTTGATCTGAAACCAAGAAAAACGATATACAAGGAACTTGGGATGCCAGTCATGCGGTATTTGTCATGCAAGACTACAGTTGGAAACTCCTCAGTGAGCGCATTTTTTCCGTACTCTGTTAAAATCATGAGCAGTTGATAGGACAGCAGAAACTCTTGTAATGATTGGAAGTGGGCATGTAACTTTAACCACATTACAAAAGAGTTACCAGTGGAGGCACGGCTTTGATTCTCCATGATGTCTAGGAAACCAAGCACACAGTAGAGATTTGACACATTTTTTAAGTGATTGCACTGTGTTTCCTGCTTTTTGATTTATTATGTGTATCTCATAGTTTTGTTTAGTAATCTATTATCATTAAAATTCTAATTTTTTAATTTACCTTTTTTAGGTGTGAACATAGGTGAAGTCCTAGATAAGCGGTACAATGTATATGGCTACACTGGTCAGGGTGTATTCAGTAATGTTGTACGAGCCAGAGATAATGCAAGAGCCAACCAAGAAGTGGCTGTAAAGATCATCAGAAACAATGAGCTCATGTAAGTCCAGAAAACAAAGGTGATGAAACCTTTAATAACACAAGTGTTCACAAATGAACATTTTTAAATGCTATTTTTACAAAGTGTAACAAAGTGTAACACAGTCTGTGTAAAACAAGTACTGCAGTTGTAAAATGACAAAAGGTTCTTTTTGACTGGATTTTTAATATATAGCCATGTGTTAAATGTGAAGTAATAGAACTGTAGACTGATTGTATTTAATTCATTTCAGTGCCTTTTAGTACCTACTTTGTGCACTAGTATCAACTTAGACTCTTTCCTTCTACTGCTTGTCTTATGGCCATCTTTTGCTGTGAATATCTTTAACTCAAGACTAGAGGTGAGAAATAAAAGGATCATATTGGTTAGCTGTCACTGAGCGTATGGTGGCCTGCAAAAAGTGAAAACTGATTTATCCGATAGTTCTGGGAATTATTTGTATCTTTTATCGGTCTTTGTCCTTTAATAGAGTAGTGGTAATTGCGATACCCATATGTTTTAATGCATGATCTGTACCATACAATGAGTTGATGTTAGTCAACTCACCATTAGTTTTGAAACACTAGAAAGAAGTGTAGATTTACAGTAAAGTCATAGGCCGCCCTAGGCTTAGAAAGTTTTGTTTTGTTTTGATGGTAATCCCCAACCTCTGTATTATACACGCTAACTTTAAAGTGTAGCCTATTGACAAATTATAACTGGGATTTCAGAGGATAACCTAATATTAATATTCGGTAAGACATCCGTAATTAGACTCTTAAAGGAATTGAGATTTATGTTCAGTGTGGTTCCATTTTTGTTAAAAATAATATTTTCATCAAAACGTTTTGAGATACAATGTGCAAGATTGATTTCCCTTCAAGAAAGGTGGGTTTGTTCCTTAATGTTTCTGTTTTGTTAATTGATTATTTTGGAAATAACTCTATGAAAACAGTATTTGGCTAAGTATAAAGTATTGTGTGAATGATAGAGACTTGTCACATTCCTCAACAGATTTATCAGTAGTACTTAAAAAACAACAAACTACCTAACATATCACTTGCGATGCATCAGACTTGGACTTAGCAAATATGTATCCTTTAGTTTTCCTGAATTGTGAATGTATTCAATTTTGACCTAATTTTCTTTTTCATTTCAGGCAAAAAACTGGTTTAAAAGAACTAGAATTCTTGAAAAAACTTAATGATGCTGATCCTGATGACAAATTTCATTGTTTGCGACTCTTCAGACATTTTTATCATAAACAGCATCTCTGTCTTGTATTTGAGCCTCTAAGGTACAATGTCAAAACCTGTACATTAAAGTGAAAATTTAGCTTCTTCATCTCTACCAACCTCTTGTTAGATAAACACCATGACAAATTTTATGGGTATTTGATTTGTTTTTCCAGTTAGTTAGCTCCGGTTTTTGTTTTTTAACTTTTGTTTAAGAGCTATCTTCTTGACAGTCATTTCTGTATAAACATTAATTACTACGTACCAGTCACTAATCTCGTGTAGCATTCAGCTCAACAGAGAGATTCTCTGAAAATTAAACACGTCAAGGAAGGATTAAGCCATAATGAAAAGAAATGGAAGTAGTGGAGTAGAAATACGATTTTGATCTTCAAAAGTATGGCTTCATTGTTGTGCTTTCAAATGTAAACCTATTCTAAAATCAATAGGAATTTTTACCATTGCATATCTTTCCATCTATTTATTTTGAAAATTGAGTTTGATTGGACAGTTGTTATGTACAAACAGTTTCCTATGCTCTCGTTTTAGTGTAGAATAATTTATCAAAGGTTTAGGAAGTGGTTCTTGAGCAGAATATTGTAATTCATGTTTTGGATTTGATTTTAGTTTATGCTTGAGAATGTTTTTGCCTTTTTTATTCCCATTTTGCATTTTAACCTGTAATTTTATTTTTTTTCTCTCCTAAAAGTATGAATTTACGAGAGGTGTTAAAAAAATATGGTAAAGATGTTGGTCTTCATATTAAAGCTGTAAGATCCTATAGTCAGCAGTTGTTCTTGGCATTGAAACTCCTTAAGAGATGCAATATCCTACATGCAGATATCAAGCCAGACAATATCCTGGTAAGTCAAACAATCAGGCTGCCTTGTACATCTCTATATCTTCTTACCAGTAATGTGATTACCGCTTACTCTTCTAGAAATGACATTTTAGAAGAATAATGAGTATATTAATCACCCGTAACAAGTGGCTTTAGCAGTTTTTACTTTTTTGGAAATTGGGCCTTGAAATTTTATAGTAAAGTATAAAGGAAGAGGAACTAGGCTGCTGTCCCAATTTTTTCCTTTTGATTGATGGATTTAGAGTACACACAAATCCCAAGAGTGCTTTAATGTAGTAATGATGGGCTTCCTCTGGTATCTAAAAAAAAAGGTGCTGCACGTGTTGCTGTTTTGAAGTAAGGAGTGTTGACACATCTTTGTTCTCTAACTTGATAGACTGACGGAGTTAGAGACATTTAAGGGAATCATCTTCTCTTAAGCAGATGTATGGAGTTGAGTTTAAAGGTGCCCAGGAATAATTCTTTTTTCCTTTATTCTTTATTGCTTTAAAAGCTGTGGCTTCTTGGGGCCCAAACACAGTAAATCTCAGTTGTGGTTTGGTGTTGTATTGAAAGACATCCCTTTCACAGTCTTGACCTCTTCTAACTAATGACTTCTGGTGCCGTAATATGCAGATTTCACAGTGCTCATGTTTTTGAAATTTAGAAATATGTACTGTCATAGTGGAGTGATTAATGCATACACACACCATGTCCCTCCCTAACCGCATTTCTTCACCCTGTTCTGTGGTGTTCAGAGCTGGGAGCATGTTCACAGCTTGGGGGATTCCTAGCTCATCTGCCAGTTACGTGTTCCACACTTTAAAAAGATTTTGATCTCACTAAAGTTTGTTAAGGACTCCTTATCAATAACTTAGCTCAGTTCAGATTTCTGCTTTTTTAGTATCTTAAAATACTTCCTTACAGACTACCACATTAATAATGAGGGATTTCATTTTGATATGTTTGCTCTGAGTTGATAATGTATTGCATATCTAATATAACTTGGGGTTAGAGGAGCTGAGTAATTACAGTGAAATGGTAGGCACATTATGATTGAATTGTCGACTTCCCTAGTCAGCTTCATATTTGATTTTTACCTCAGTTTTTTTCTTTCTCTTTTTTATTGTGAAATATACCATCCATATCAAAGAATGTATAAAATATGTACACTTTAAAGGTAATTATATAGTGAACATCTGTGTAACCACTGTGGTGAAGGTTAAAGAGTGAGACATTTGCTAGTATCTTAGAAGCTCTTGTTTTTAAAACTTCATTTTTCTTTGCATTAATGCTAAACTAGTTTAGTATAGGTTTTCACATGGATTTCAAAACTGAATGTTTTTCTTTCTTCCTGAGGAAGGAAAAAATAGACCTCAGAGACCACATGGAGCTGTTTGTTAATGAAAATCCAAAGCTTTTAGCCCACGATTTCAGCCATCATTTGGTAGAAGTACCACATTCCTCATGGGGGGAGTAGAAGTTGTGTAGCCAAACTAAGGTACACCTGAGTGTGGATACCCTGCTATTATTTAAGGCATTTTAGCCAGCTCAAGAATTCCATTGATAGATTCTAATTTTAAAATGGTCCTCGGGTTTTCTCTGGGTATTGAAACTGCATTCTTAAGTAGCTGAATGCAGTTTATACTTTTAAAAGCTTTTCAAGTACTTTTCCATTTGCAGATACCTATTTTCCTAATCCCCAGATGAAGAGAATGGTTATTGATGTGGCAATTAAAAATAAGCATTTCTATTATTAGCTGAATTCTGTGGATATCATCTGTAATGGACCAATCTGTAGCACTGACCAAACTTTATGATATCCCAGTAGAGAGTGCCTAGGACTATTTATTTGAAGTGTTATGTTTCTTTGGGGAGGGAACGTAGGCCAAGTTCAAGTCCCAACTCGGAATTTGTGTGTGTCTCTTTTGAAGGGGGGAAGGGACTCTGGAATATGAATTATCTTCACTTGTTAATCCTGAACATGCTTCTGACTCATGAGTGGCAGCAGTCATGGGAGCAACTCCAGCCTTTCTCAGCAGATGTCACTGTTACTGTGTATGTTGAAGTATTTACAAAGGAAAAAAGAAACAAATGACTAATATAGAGTTCATGTTTATCAGTTTTGCCAAATATATTTAACATATTCTTGACTAATACTTTCTTTATATTTAAGGGATTTAATATTTTTAGACTTGAGGTGATTGCTAAATTTGGGATGGTCTAGCAGCTTCGGAGGAAGAACGTTTTTATTCTGTTTTTGTCCAAATTTAATCTAGATCATCCTTCTGCTTTCATTGCTGTCATAATTTTCTGGCAACTGAAAGTTAATCTAAGTCTGATCCCTTATTAATGAACGCCTTCATGTTCCTTTAAGTAGTAACTTGACTTTATTCAGGTATTCTGGGGATTTTTAGAAGACACTTTGCTTCAATGAGATTTTTCTGTTACTATTTCACCCTTTTCTAAATAGTGTTGGTTAAAATTAAATTTACTTGATGTTATCCCATATTTCCTCACTGAAAAAAGTTCTTTTACTAATTATAATCAAATATTTGATAGCTCAGAATTTTTCATAATTAGGTCGTTGAGTTATAAAATAATTAGAAAAGGAATTTTAAAATGAGTAACTTTGTTCTCAGTATTGGAAATAGCTTCTCAGAGCTGATTATTTTTTATCTGATTATTTGTCTATTATTATTCCTGGCATGAATTAAACTTCCTTGATAAAATGTTTTGCAGGTAAATGAATCAAAAACTATTTTAAAGCTCTGCGATTTTGGGTCGGCTTCACATGTGGCAGATAATGACATAACGCCTTATCTTGTCAGTAGATTTTATCGTGCTCCTGAAATCAGTAAGTTTCTTCAAATATTTGACCTGGGCCATCATATGCAGTGGAAGCAGCGTGTTTAATGTCTAAGTACTGTTTTCCGTCGCACTTCAGCAGCTGCACGAGTCATTCATGAGGAAGGGAACCGTAGCAAGTTCATCCTCCTCAGGTGGAATGATGGTAGTTGTGACAGGAGTCTTGATCATGTCTGGCAAGAGTAGCAAAACAGTTGTGGAAAATCCTCGACTTTAGAAGACTGCTCTTGATTACTCAAGGTCTGCTTATCAAATTTATGGATCGTATGGGACCTTTGTGTTTTCTCTTCCAGTTGCCTTGGTTGAGACTGATTAGCATCTCCACCAAAGGTGAAATGAAAAAAGAGAAGTTTTCTTCTGCCCTTTCAATTCCTCCCCACTCCCCCATTTTTTAAGGTTTTTGAGTTTAAGAATCCCTGTTAAGAATTAATGGGTAAAATACATGAAACTAATGCTGAAGTGAGATATTAAGCTTGTGGTTATATAGTCCAAGCTAAATTAATTCCCCATTAATGGAAATTAATAGTAGTTGATTGTTTTTATCATATATTAAAACTTTCATTTTGTTTTCAGTTATAGGTAAAAGCTATGACTATGGTATAGATATGTGGTCTGTAGGTTGTACCTTATATGAACTCTATACTGGAAAAATTTTATTTCCTGGCAAAACCAATAACCATATGTTGAAGCTCGCCATGGATCTCAAAGGAAAGATGCCAAATAAGGTAGGACATTAGTGTGAACTTGTTTTTTCAAGGTCTTAGCAATAGTTTCCTATAGACTGATGGATTACTGACATTTTTTCATCACTAGTGTCTGTAAAAAGAATTTCAGAGAGGCAGGTACGTGGCTACCATGATTCCTTAGCTCTTATTTCTGATGTTTAAATTAGTGGTTCTAATCAGCCAAGAGCCATCAAAAGAGAATAAGAGAACTCCATTTTCTTTTTCCCCTCTAAAGTGTGTCTTGGTGCTTTGCTTGACCTTGTTTTAGACAGGAGGGTAGGGGCCCATGGTTTAGGGTAGAATTGGAATTGAGGAAAAGAGTATTGATGAGTATACAATTGTTAAGCACCATATATATATATGACTGTTTCATATCTCTCTTCATCCCTTGTTCCATTGATTGTCCTTCAGTGATGGGCAGAGAAGCAGCAGTGTTCTCGGGAGCACACCCTTATTGGTAACAGCACCAAACATGCTTGAGAGCTGGAACGAAAAACGTTGCAGGTCAGGTTAGTTAGATGTGAGGAAGGGCTTAGTAGTCAGAGAATGAATGGGTGACTATTAGAAGAAGAACTTGCTGGCAATCAGTTTATTAAAGATTGGAAGTTATTCAGAAAAGGAAGGTACCAAGAAAATTCACTTGAATTGACATCTTTCTAATATAAAACTCACCTTTAATGTTTCAGCTATAATATTAGTTTCTGTTTGAGTAACACGAAGCAAGAACTTGAGGCATTTATAAAAATGTCTGAGGGCCATATCTTAGATTTACAATTTCAGTTTATTTGCTGAATTTCTGAGCGAGATTCATATTTTTCTCCTTATAGGTCAGGAAGCCGTTATGTTTATTAGGTACTGTCCAAATTCTATTACGTTGGACTTGTTTAGAATAGATTACACAGAAATAGCTATGTTGGTGTTTGTTTTAATGTGGTCTGAGCTGTATCCTATTAGGCTTGTTGGAACATAATTTGTAAAATGTCATTAAGTTTCTTAACTGCCAAGAGAAAAGGCTCCACCTGTGTAATATTTTTACATCTAAGGACAAATGATTTTAAGTCTTTAATTGTCAGTTTTGAATAGTGAAAGCACAACCTAATCTAATTGGTTTGTCACTGCCTGAGAAAATATAATTTCATGTTATTAAGTAGATTTAGGTACAGCATTTCTGTTAGCTTTTCCAAAGATGTTAATAAACTCTCAAGAGCAAGGAATCTGAGATCATTTTCAAATGAGAAAACAAACCCAGAGAGACTAAATAATGTGTGTGTGACTTGTTATGTATTAAATTGTTAGAAGGCTAGACTGTTTGATAATAGTTTAAAACCCAAGTTTTGTTTTGTTTTATTGCCAGATGATTCGGAAAGGTGTATTCAAAGACCAACATTTTGATCAAAACCTCAACTTCATGTACATAGAAGTTGATAAAGTAACAGAGAGGGTAAGTCTCTTTTAAGTGTGCTACATTAAATGATTATCTTATTGTTAACGAATTGAGTACTAGGAGCTATGAATATTTCAAAACACTAAAAATTTCTTTTTGCTGTTGGCCAATTCTTGAATAAAACATACCAGGTTATGAAAAAGATGAAGAGATTTTAAAATGTTTGTTTCCAGTACAATTAGTTATAGGTCATATTTAGGCCCTCTTTGTCGCTTCTCTGGATCACTTTCTTGGTCTGGCCTCCCATCTGGCTTCTATGCCGCTGCCAGAGTGATCTTTTTGAAAACAAATCTGATCATGTTACTCTCCCTACTTAAAAACCTTTGTTGGCTCCTTGTCACCAATAAGATATTTAAATTCCTAGAATGACAAACTGATATGAACTCGGCTGTCTTCCACAGCTTCCCCTCTCCTCACTGTACTCCATAAACCCCACCATTCCACACTCAGCGTAGCTAAAGGGCCTGCTGTTTCAGACCTCTATGCCTTTGTTCACTGGCCATCCGGAGCGTTCTTTGCCTCCTATACTTCCTCATCCCCTAAAAAAGGATTATTCAACTTCAAGCTTCGGCTGAAATAGACGTTCTGTATGAGCCTTTCTAAAACCTGCAGGTTGGAATAAGGACTGCTTTATTTTTGCCGCATTGTATTATGTGTCCCTAATTTTGTCAGAGCACTTAATAACATTTCATGGTATTGGCTCATTTACGTGTCTGTCTGTTACCACTTCAGGTTAGAGATAGCACAGTTCAAACATTGTGTTTACTGTTAATTATTTTTAATTACTTAACTATGTTTTTGAATTTTCATAGAATTCCTGTTTTCATTTTGATCTTTTTACAAAATTAAATTACAGAATGATGTTTAAAAAAAACTATCATAGCTAAATTAGGGTTGACTTTTTTCATTTAAGTTTTTTGATTGCTTCTTGAAAAGATGTGGAGGCTAGAGAAAGCCATGTAGAAGTTTTAAATGAGTAGATGATGGTTTATATATTCTTACATATTAATATTTTTGAAAGACAAAAAGTCTGATTTAAATTATATATATTTAATATCTTACTTAGAGATATGCATTTTTAAAATTATTTTTAGGAGAAAGTTACTGTCATGAGCACCATTAATCCAACTAAGGACCTGTTGGCTGACTTGATTGGGTGCCAGCGACTTCCTGAAGACCAACGTAAAAAAGTACACCAGCTAAAGGACTTGTTGGACCAGATCCTGATGTTGGACCCAGCTAAACGAATTAGCATCAACCAGGCCCTACAGCATGCCTTCATCCAGGAAAAAATTTAAACGAGATGAAGAAGCTCCAAGGGTTTGAGTAATTAAATACAAAGACTGAAGAAATTTCACAGCAGTTTATTAATGTATATAAACTTATAAGTATTTCTCCAGCAAATTTGAGGAAGCATGATATATTTGAATTAGCACCAAGGGTGATATTTCTTTTAGAAATGTTAGTTAATCTGTTGTGTCTTATGTGAAATTTCATTGTAGAACTGTTTTAATTGCCAAGACTGCACAAAATTACAGTGCTAATGTATATTGTTGCAGTTCACATAAAAGACAAAAGCATCTGTTATAAAACAAGTAGTAATACTGGGTGGTTGATTTATTTTTAGCAGACTTGGCTTCATTTTGGTCTTCAAATAAAATGGCCAGCATAAATGCTGTTTATATTCACGTTTTCCTAGGTGTGTGTGTGCAGGCCACAGCAGCATGCCCTTGGTGTAGTCAGTGCCGAAAGGGGTCTGTTCCTTCTTGAGCCTGCCTGCAGGGATGGTCTCCTCTTTTAAAGCAGGTTGTGTACAACATTCAGTACACTGAAGGTAAGCTAAACCATCAACATCACTGGTGTTTTAAGATATTATTTTATTGGAACAATTGACAAATGAGGGATATTAGCTTTGTGGCAGAATTCCCTGCATGTGTGGTAACTGATCTTGTTTTATTTTTTGGCATTGCAACTGTGGCATAGTTACAGTTTCTGTTCTGTTCATCACATTTAAAATTTGAAGAGTATGCGCTTGATGGATAGAGCGCCTTCAGTGTACTGTTTCTTATTAACTTTAATTTTTTTAAATCAACTTGCTATAGACTTTATATACATTTTGTTAAATACAGTTCCTAGTGACATAGAAACAATGCGTAGTTTTCATTTACTAATTACAAATGTTGAGGCCTAATTCTGAAAGTCCTCATATTTAAAAATTAGATGACATAATGAAATTTTTAACTATTTGTATGTCATTTTTGAAAGTGTACTGCTTTATGGTAAAAGTGTTTTTCATTTGTTCCTTGTTTTCATTATTTGTGATCATGTTGTCTTTCAATACAGGCATAAACCTTCCACTCTTGAACAAAGCAGCTGCTTTTTAAAAGCGGTAATTGCTCCTTTACCTTTTATTTCTTTTGTAAATGAAACTTTTCTTTAAGAATGTGACTTTAAAGTGTTGTCTATTGCATAAAACAGTTGACACTCACTTATTGTAAAGTGAAGATTGTTCTACTGCATGTGAAGTGGACCATGCAGATTTCTGTATGTTCTCAGTATGCATCACTAGATAATAAAGTCTTTTGTGAACAAGGCATTTGTAGCCATTTTTAAAAGTTTTTTGTCTTCAGTGCTGGTAAGTCAGGTAAACCATAGTTAAAAGCAATCTTTGTTTCTCCCTTTAAGTCTTTAGCTAAAAGAATTGTTAAAGATGTAAACCTAGCCAGAAGTTTATCATTTTATTAATAATTAGGATCCTAATTATTTCATCAAAAAAAATCCTACGAATAGTGTCAGCTTTCAGTATAGTGAGATAATTCCTGTAGGTTATGGGGTGTAATTCAGGATTTAACTAATGTTTCTGCTATTTTCTCACTTTTCCTTTTGATGGTGCGGAAAGAGAAAAAAGGAAAACGGGGCTCAGGCCATTCACCGCCTTCTCCAAGGGGTCTGATTTGCTGAGACACCAGCTTCACCTTCTTAACAAGGTTATTTCTGACAGCATGTGTAGATAAACATTTAGCAACAATTTAAAACAAAATCATGTAAATCAGCTTGGTTTCCAACACAAAGGTATTTGCATTTTTAACATGGTAGAAGAGAATTTTCAGAAATGTATGTAATCTTTTCTGTTTGGGTGTTAAAATTAATGCTTGTCTCCCTGAGGAATGTGAAAAATAATCAGATTTTACGGGTTTAAATAATATTTTAAAATTGTAAATGGGATTTTCTTATTCACCCAGGCACCTAATTACAACAAGCATGCACATTTTGGTGCATTCAAGAATGGAAAATCAGAATAGCAGCATTCTTCTGGTGGGTTTTGCTCCATTTAAAGACATGAAATGAACTGCAGCCAGGAAGGTGATAGATGCTATAATAAGCCAACTTTGAATCTACACCCCGTCTCTTCACGGTTTAGACTTAAAAAGTAAATACAAGGTGGTTTTCATCTTCAGGTAGAGTGAAGCCTTGTAAATAAGGCGTCACAGGTGCAGCTTTTCTACCTTAATGCAATGGGTAGTGATTGTCCCACCATGATTTACTTCATTTTGGTGATAATATGCTGCATATTCAAGTCTCTTGTAGTTATTTTCACTCAAAATAGTTAACATTTTGATGCTTCTTGTGATTATCATGGCTTCATTTTATGTAATTATTTAAGTAAGTTAACTCCCACTAGAAACAGTTCATCTTATGCCTTCAAAACTATTACATATTCTTTAACAAACAAAGTTGCTTGTTACTTGTTCTTTGTGTTTTAGGTGCAGTTCAGTGGAAGATGATGACAACCAGAAGACATGAGCTAAGGTTTCTGTCTATAAAAGATTTTAAAAAAAAGACTCCTCCATTTAATTTTTGTCTGATTTTTTAGTTTTCAGCATTATGATTTGGGTTTCATTAATGTTTGGTACTTAGAATATTGGTGCTGTGGTGCTGTTCGTCTGTAAAGTGCTTGTTTTATCATGCTTCCTGCCTCTCCCTGCTCCTTCCTCCCCTAAAATAAAAATAGTGGTCAAATTTAGTGATAGAAAAGACTCTTAGATGATGAGATTCCACATAACATATGGTTGTCAAAATTGGTTCCTAAGGATGGTTAGAAAAACAGCAACCACCTAAATAGCATACATCAAAAAGTAGTCTTTAGGTATCTTATCTTCTTGGCAGATGCAAAAGAATAGAAACTTGAATTTTAAGAACAGTATTCAGCTCCTTTAGTACTCTCTTCTCCAACTTACCCTTTAGTAACTTGTTCTTAACAAGCGCTCCAGTCATGGTCTCAAAATAGACAAAATATTCAGAGCCATTGTCAGTTTTTCTTCTTAAGAGAAATAAGAGGTGATACTGGAGATCTTTGATATTCCCAAATTTAGCATTCCTAAATTTATCTATTTGAAAGGAACTCTGTAAACTATCTTTATATACCTATACATGATTTTATTTGAATTTGTAATTTTGCTGAGGCAGAAATTTGGAACTCTGCAAGCTCTCTGTTAGATTGAGGTCATTTAGTGAATAATCCTTAACAAACCTGCATTCATGTTTCAGAGCAGCTGTATAGTTTTCAAATACAACTATCTCGTGAATTTTTTGCTGTATGACACTTTATGGCAAAATGATATCAAATGATTGTCAGACTTCAGGGTTCATAAGTCTTGGGACATAGCCCTCATCTTATGATGTCATAGTTCTTTCTGCAGTTGGGAGAATAGTTGAGAGCTAGAAAACAAACATTTGAACACTGTTCTCTAGGTAGACCTTACACTCAAAGATTATCAGAAATTAGGTTGGAATTTTGAGGTTGGGAAGGGAGCATCTTGTCGTAAATGTTAAGACCCTCCCGGTGTTTGTCTTCGCCCACAAATCCTCTATAATAGCATCCTGTTTCTCTCCCCAGTGCCTAGTTCATTGCACTCTACTTCTTTCTCAAAATAATTCTGCCTTTTAAAATAATATAAATTTTTTCTTTGCCATTATAATTACCACTTTTTTCCCTAACAAAAACAAATACTCAAGACATTTTTACAATATGAAAAAATTAAATAATGTTTTATGGTACGTAGTAGAGGCAGTGAAATGAAATGTTCTCAGATTTGTTCCCTATTTCATTCCTCCTACTATGCTTTACCTGTACTTTATCATCATTTTGTAGCAGAACTCTAGCTGGTGAGGTATAAATAAAATCTCGAAATCAAGGAATCACATATCTCAAAATTTAGGCCAAGCAGTTAAAGAATGCCGTTTTAAATGTTAGAGATAGGAAAGAAGCCAGATATTCAAATGCGTAATTTCCTCCGTTAGTTATAATGACATCATTAGAAATTGGGCTTCATAAAGTGTTTCTTTCTTCATAGTATCCTGATTCAACCATATATTCAACATGAATTTTATCATTCTCCCAGATGGAATGTCCTCCTTATAGAAATGTTCACTACAAACTCATCTGTGTTTTTTACATATCAATAATGTACACTAAATTGACTTTTAAAATGTTTTCCAATTATTTTGATAGATATCATGGCATCTTTAATTTTTCTTCTCGTTCTATGTGTAGGGTAAGGGACTGTTCTTCTGAAGAATCTTTCCATTTAGTGATCAAGATATGGAAGCTAAGCTCTGAAAATAATATGTCTGAATTATTCATAGTATCATTTGAATTGTAACTTGAATTTTAGCAGCAATGTCCCCAGTCGACTTACTGGGAAAACTTAATAAAATATGTCTCTTGTTACCATGTTGTCTCCTGATTTTTCCTTTGCTTGAGTTTGGTATTTTACATTTAGTTTTAAGTTAAAAAACACCATTTCTTACTTGATATTTCTTAGATGCTGTGTCACTGATGTTCATAGGTAGGCTTTGAAAGTGTTCTGTGCCCAAATATGATTGGGAACTGCTGGGTTAAATTCAGGTATTTACTTTAAAAGTTCTTAGAAGACATCTGATGCTTTATGAATCGCAGTGAAGAAAGGTGTGGAGGGAAGTTGACCAACTACTGGGCAGAATCTGCCCTTGCACAGAACCTGCAGCTTGGAAACAGCCAATCTAAGGTGATCGTCCTTACAAACACCAAAACATTTTCTAAGCCAGTAAGTACAGAGCACACACCAAAGGGTGTTGTATTTATCTTCTTGTTACATATATTTCTGATTTGGTTTTCCTAGTAATAGAAACATGATAAGTAATGAGATAGTTGGTTCATTGCAGATGAGGAGCCTGACGAATACTGGATGGACTCTTATCCTCAGTCTACCTGCTATTTATTTTCTTCTCTTAAGGAAATATCTTCAGCTTTTAAAAACAGTGAATAAGATACTTATGAGGAACAGGGAGGTTGTGTGAATCTTGAGCACGTGCAAAGCAGGATTGGAGGATGGGGTGACAGTGCCATCCGCCCGGTTGGAGCTACCTGCCACCAAATGGCCGGCACAAGCTAGTTTGGTCAAGTCCTGGTTTTTATAAGAAAATGAGCCAAATGGCAGAGGCTCTGGATAGCCTTCTTGAAAAGGCGCCGGTTGTAGTTTTCTACTTGGGTTTAAGAGGATTAAGAGCTCCAGGTTCTGTCTAAAGTGACTGACTGTCAAGGGTCCTGAGATCCTGTGTTTATTAGGAGAAGTATGCAGGGTGTACTGAGGACAGGAGGGGCTTGCTGCAAGCTGTTTCAAGAGAGATTTTTTTACATGTGCTTTCTATTAACTGATGGGCAAGTCAAAATCTACCTCAGTTAAGATCCAAAAAGGAGCAAGAAAAAGTATCAGTACTGGAGAGTTAAACGTGAGAATTGATGAGCAAGCCAGGAAGCTAAGTTGATAATTTCCTGAACAGAATTTATGTGTTATAAACTTTGCCAAATGTTTCTTCAAAAATAAGTGGTATAAGTTGGCTTCTAACAGGTCTGAAAAATAGCCAAATCTAAATTTGTTTAGAATTAGTCCCCTTCTCCCCAACGGTGAGTTTTTCTTCACCGAATTCATATGTATTGACTGTTTGAACCAAGTCTTTTACCTCATCATGCTAGAAGATGAACTTGAGATGGCTACATCGACTTCTGCATACCACTTCTGGCCTCATTTTAGGGACTCAGTTTAAACACAGAAGAATCCCAGCAACTGTATTTTTACTAAGTGATCAGGACGTGTTAAAATTATTAGTCCCTTTGCCTCATAATTGGAATCAGCAATGCTGCTAATGCATTTTTTACATAATTACACTTAAAGCAATTTTGGACTCAAAAATTACCTGGGAGGTGTTTCAGTAGCTCCTGTTTTTAGGTCTAATGGCATCCTAAATAAAGTAACCTGGACATGTTTCCAATAAGAAATTTGCCCTTAATTCTTGCTAAGACATTAAAAGCTCAGAATCAACCCCCCTCCCACCCCCCTTCAAAGGAACTGAAGCAGTCCTTTAGTGCAGGAATCCTTTTCGTGGAACCCCTGTCAGACTGATGCTGTATTACCTCTACCTCTAAAATGCTCTTACCTACCTCCTGTTTCCCATCTCCCACGTCCACTTCCACACTTGATCTTACTGAAAACCAGGGTTTGTGTCTTCATTACTCCATACCATGTCGCCGGTGCCTGGTACATGCCTTGTGAGAAGTAAGACATTAATCTATGTATAGAGTTGTTACTCCAGTGATGGCTGACTCAGTGCTGTGGCAGCTGGTTCCATTCAGTCTGGCCCCCTGTGTCATTCCTATTTTCCCCAATATATTTTTTGAATTTGTCAGGCACTTTACTCACAATCCTCACATTATTATAGGTATTCTACCCACCTTACAAATTAGGAAAGTGACGAACAGAGAAGTTAAGGAAACTGCCTGATGTGTTAGAGCTGTTGAGTGGCAGAGCCTGGGTTTGACTTCAGACAGTCTGGCTATGGAGGCGGTGCTTATAACTACTATGTCGTGTATAACAATCCTCAATGATGGATCAAGTCCATTCCTTAAATACTTTGAAGGGTGGCTACTACACGCCAGGCAACGATTGTCCGGGATGCAGTCAGTGGTGAACAAAGCAGGCATGTCCCGTCCTGAAGGTTTTATGAATAAAAATTACATTATTACAGCCCCAAAGGAAAGGGTATAAAATCCAAACAGGTAAAAAAAGAAATGAGAATGAGTACAAAGAGCTGGTAAATAAGTTTCAAGACTTGTTAGAATTCAGGAGGGCCGGCCCGTGGCTTAGCGGTTAAGTGCGTGCGCTCTGCCACTGGCGGCCTGGGCCCGGATTCCAGGCGTGCACCGACGCACCTCTTCTCCGGCCATGCTGAGGCTGCGTCCCACACACAGCAACTAGAAGGATGTGCAACTATGACATACAACTATCTACTGGGGCTTTGGGTGGGGGGGGAAGGCAGGAGCAACAAGAAAGATCATTGTAAGTTGGAACTGAGTAAAAACAAGTCCATTTTTTATTAATTCTATGAAAGGGATGTTATACCACTTTGGATAGTGACACTAAGTGTATGGGATTTAGGTAAAATTCTATTATAAGGGATCTTGAACAGTTTATTTTCTATTGCTGCGTTGATATGGTTCCAGAAAATTCTTTGAAATTAACCTAAAAACTAAGCATACTCTCTTTGACCCCTGCCTTTAAGAAAACTATTTGAGCCTTTATTCTTTTACTGAAGGTAGAATAGAGGAAACTTAAGCTACAGTTGCTGTCTTCAACATTTATTTGAATTGTCCTTTAATTCATCTCACCCATCCCTAATTCAAATATTCCATCTTATTTGGGAGGATGGACTGCCTTTGTGTGTGGGGGGGGGGGGTAGGGAGAGGCTTTTTACTTTTCATTTTTACTTTTGGGTAATGTTTGAAGTTTTAATCGTGTGTTATTTTTTTAATTTTTAAGAAAAACTAATTTGAATTTACCAACCAGCCACTAAAACCAAAGCACACTACGCCCCAAAATATCCAAACTCAGATCTAGGCATGTTACATTGTTTTTCCTTTACAATGCTTTTCCAAGTGTGAGCCGAGAACCACCTGGATTAAAATCACCTGGGATGCTTGTTTATACTGTAGGTCCCTGGGCCCCACTCCCAAAGACTCTGGTGCCATAGGCCTGCGACAGAACCCGGGACTGTACTTGTTTCCCTGATCTTTACGTGCAGTAAAGTGCGTTGATCACATAGTTTCCCTTTTCACCAGTTAATGAGTTAAGCTTTAGCTGCTTGAGTTTCAAAAAGCCAGAGTTAAGACTTCCAGCAACGAAGAGCCTTGGGGAAAAATTCCATTAACATGAGATTTTGGCGGCTCTGTGGACAGTGATCTTTCTTTTCCCATTTTTCCTTTGACATTTTAAAACTATTACATCCTAGTGAAAGAGGGTTGTTTCATGTCTAAACCTGTAGTTAGGCCCCAAAGAGACTGATCTTGCTTTCATGTGTATGACAAAGGGCCTGGGAAAGGGAAACTTTATAAGGATTCATAGGAGGACAGGACCTAAAGGATCTTATATATTAATTTAACAAAACAGCAACTTCTTGAGCTTTTAATGGCCAAGCAAATACCAAAAGGATAGGTCAAAATGATCGACAAAGGAGATTTGTGGAGTTGGAAAGAGAAAGAAAAAAAGGTACTGTTAGCGCTGCCTAAATAGCTATAATAGCTATAGCCAAGGGTTAGCTTAAGTTAGCATAAGGGAAGCCATCTTGTAGAGGGGAACCATGTTGGAACTACAAATGACGCTGATCCACAAGACACCCCCTTGCTGAGTCAGCAATGCTTTAGTTTGCACGTAGCTTGGATAAGTCCATACCTGCTTGTGAGCAATATGCATGCTCTGCTACTTTCTCAGCCTCGGCTTGTACACAGACCTCCCTATTGCTATAAGGAAGTAACTTTGTTCTTTAAGTTCTCCCAGGAATGTAATGACATCCAGAAAGGAGCCCTATGCTGGCATCCATCACTGGTGACAAGGAAAAGGGATGATCTGGTGTCTCAAGGACTACAACACCAGATGGTCACATTCCGAGACCCCCTCTTTTCAGCCCATTTGCCCTATATAACTGCTTCAAAATTTTGTAGTTTTAAGATAGTTCTTTAAGGACACTAGTCCGCCATCTTCCCCCTTGCTAGCAAGCTGTAATAACAATAAAAGACCCTTTCTCTCCTACCACCTTGCCTCTGGACTGTTGGCTTGTCTTTGCAGCAAGTAGAGGACCCCTATTTGGCGGTGACAGTACCAGAGTGGGAAAAACTAAAATCACTGATAGAGGTAACTGCACTCTTATGACTGTATAATAGAACATAGTAAAAGAATCGCCAAAGCAGCAATAAGTCTATTATACCATTTATTGATGATAGAATTATACTGGGAAAACAATCACAACAAAAGAACAATCTTTTGAATAGAATAGTTTACTAAGTGAAACATTTCTTTGAAACATAACATGCAAAAGATTGTCAAATACGTCAGTTTGGAAGCCCCTGGATTTACATTAGACCTCTCAGTGGACTGTCACAAGTCCCACTCCATATCACACCAAGGAATTGTCATGTGTTTTTAGTACCTGTATCTTGGAATGATGAACCATATTTTAGCCACGCTTCTTGGAATAGATTTGCTCACATTGAGATGTATGAAAGAAAAGTTATTTTGGGTCAGTGGATGAGCAGTTATCCTTAGCTATAAATGAAGGCGACAAACAGTTTAGCTTCTGAATATAGAATGGTCTGTTCAATACTATGGTTTTTCGGTAAAGTTTCTTTTTGGTGCTTGGTGC